ATTGCAGTAGCATTATTCAATACTGGTGTTGTATTTTGTTCTGAATGAAAACTGGTTTGTACAAATCTAATAGACTGCAATTGTGGAAAGGCAATAATTGGTGGATTCGGTGATTGAAGGTTCTTCATTATGCAACTTGTTCCTGGATTTCCAATTGCCAAATTTTCAGATTGAAAAGGAGTTCCTTGAACGACAGGAAGTTGAATGCAATTAACAGATTCAACAGTGGCGTCTGAATTTATAAATTGTTGTGCAGAATTATTAGTCGATTCGGTTGTAGCAGGTACTTCGCCACACTCATCTTGTGTAGTCACTGTAATATTAGCAGCAACTGAACCATCTAAAGCAGCAGCTACCAGAGGCCAGGGAACTTGAAGTTCTTCTTGTTGCGTCTGTTTAATAATAAAAAATAAAAAGAATGAAAAATCATATAGAAAAAGAATACTTTTATAATATATATTAATTTATTTACATACCCTGTTGTTATTATTGATGGTATTAACAGCAGGATCTACTGTCCAACTACACTCTAACATTTCCGAACAAACATAATTATTTGCTTCTCTTAAAGCTTCATCTTCATTTCCGCCAGTTACATCTGGCGGCCCTCTGACATCTTCTACTTGTGCAGATACTACTTGAGTTTCTGTTTCTTCAGTAGTGTTTGATTCCATTTCCATACTTTCTAGAATAGGATACATAATTTCTTCTGGACATCCTGAAATTTCTTCATAAGCTTCTCTCATTTCTCCACGTACCTAAATATTATAAATAAAAATTATCGTATCGAATAAAATAACAGTTAAGGAATATTTCACACTTACTTCTTACCTCTAGCTCATGTATACGTTGTAAAGTTTCACTATCAATTTCCATTCCTTCAGGAATTTGTGCTTCACCATCTGCTGAATTTTCATGCGAAACTGGCCCTGACTCTGCCTGCGTGTTATTAACTATCAAATTGGGTTCATCCATTACGATATCACTTGTTCTAACTTGAGAATGTGTTGGTGAATTTCCAAGTGTAGTACTAGTTTCACAATCTGTTATTTGATAAATTTGATCATCAGAAATTTGAGTAATTTGTTCTTTTGATATTGGAGATATTTGATCTACTGAAGTTTCAGGTGTACATTCCTTGGGCAATTGCGAGCTTGGTTCTTCTAAGGACATTTGTTCCGGTTGATCATTAGATTTTGGTAATGAATTATCATCCAATAAAGGTCCTGTATTTTCTTCTGAAACTTCAAGGAGGTGATCTTTAACATCGTCTTCTACTTCTTTATGATTTTCCTGTAATTCTTCTTCCATATATGTATCTACACTCTTTTCTTCACAGATCTGATTTTCAATCTCATTAGTTTTTGATGTTTCTTCTTCTGTAATATCGTTAACACGAACAGTATCATCTATCCTTTCCTGACATAATTGTGTGCCTACAGCTATTTCTACAGAGTCAGTGTTTACAGATTCATTGTATTCATTAGATAAAAGATTTGCTTGCTCTTCTGGTGCATCATTTATATCTTCAGTGTTATTTGTATTAATGTCAACTTTACAACTATCTTCCTCAATTTTATCTTCTGACAATACAATAGGACAATGAGTATTTTCTGATGTTATTGTATCAATATTATTTTCCAAACGTAGCCTTAGGCTTGAACGTGTTACTGCACCACTAGATCGTGATTCATTAATGCAATGAAGACCCGATCTTAGCTTAGGTTCACGTTTCTCACCCCAAATGGGTTCAAAATGTTTCACTTTCCAAGGATCTAATTTATTCTTATCACGTTCTGCTTCCATCTTCAATCGTTGTTGATTTTCTGGAGTAAATTCTCCTTCTGCTAATCGTTTACGCCATTCTAAAAGGGCTCGAGCAAAAAACTCATTATTTAATCCAGAAGTTGCTGCATCCTAAATGTATATAACACATTGAATCAATTAATTAATATTTAATAGAAAAAAGAAAATAAAAATAAGTATTGTCAAATGAAATATTTGTAATTATTCAAAAATTTCTCAATGATTTTATTTGTATATATGTTATATGATATACAAATAAACATTTGTATTGTATTCTGTTTCTAACACCAGACTGATCGATGATAACATGTATAGGAAGAAGTTTTTTAGAATAATAACCTTGATGATATATTTCAAGGTCATTGAAATTGGTAAAAAGAACAAATTTCTAAATAATTACCTAAATATCAATAAAAGTTAACGAATTATCTTTTAATTAAAAAATACCAACCTGCCGATCAACTGCAGGTAAAAGCTGTGCAAGTTTTCTTTGATATAAAGGAGGAAGGCCTTGAAACGTATGCCTATTTAATAAAGCACGTAAACTTGTACTTGCTAAAATGCTTGCTGGTGATTCAAGATCTACTAAGCCAGCTTCTAATTGTGCAGTCACAGACAATTTTTTTGTCGAACGTCTTCTTCCTGATTTTAAACTAAATCCTGGTAAACTGGCCAAAACTTCTCTCATTGTTGCAGCGGGTTCTTCAACTACTATCAAATAAGGAAAAACTCAAAAATCTATAAACAATTAAGAATATTACAAAAAAAATAAATAATTGTAAATACCTGTATTGATGTGTTGTACATTGTTAACTGGTGGTGGCGGTTCATTTGGTGGAGGTGGTGGCAGTGGTTTAACAACAATTCTTGGCAAAGTACGGGAATTTCCTGATGCTATGGTGGTATTTTTTCTACGCCTTTTGGCTTGTTGTCGCAATGCATGTTTAATAACTTTCTTACTGTGCACCATGCTAGAATAACCGGAACAACCTGGACCAGATTCACATCCTTCTTTAGACAGTTCAACATCAGTGTCCATGACAGCACCTATCCATTTGACAGTTATGAAAAATACATAGTATGATGGTATGGAATTGTATTAATACAATTCTTTGAGTACATTTTGTAAGAACAAACCTTACAAATGCCTTCTCCTATTAAAGAAATAAACATAACATCTCTCACCAACAATCATTCAGTAACATAATTGTTCAATGCGACTGTAGAAGAACGAAATAATTTTTAATATATTCCAAGATCCATCGTTCGTCAATGATAATAAACACTCGGAGCTAACCGAACATTCAAATTTAAAAATTATTTTTTATAAGTTAAATAAAGTGTCATTCGTTAAGATTCGCAAACTTCCTCCTCTTTCGGCCATATTGTATTTGTATATTTATACCATAAGAGCGCTATTCTCCAGCTTACACGAATGAGCTGTCCTCTGGCGACAAATATCGAAATAAATTAAATAATATCACAAAATATATATATATATATATAACCACCCGCGAGTAGTTAAATAAATGTTATTACAAAATATTATTTATTTACAAATAAACAGATAACACTTTAAAAATGTCTGGGATTTGTTGATATATATATATATATATATATTTTTGTATTTGTTTTGGTTTTCTATTGAAAGAAATACAATCTGTGAAAAGCATTATAATTCTATTATATTGGGTTGTTCGGAAAGTAATTTCGTTTTTTCTCAACAGAGGATTTACTTGTATTTTTTGGCACCCAACTTCACACTTGGCTTGTGTGTGAAAAAGTTTCAATTAATTCTGTCAGTAGTTTTTGGTTGGTACCCTTTTAAATATGGACAGCAATAAGCAGCATTTTCGTCATATTTTATTATTTTACTATAGAAAAGGTAAAAATGCTGTTCAAGCCAGAAGGAAATTAACCGATGTGTATGGAGAAGATGTGTTGACAGTACGCCAGTGTCAGAACTGGTTTGCAAAATTTCGATCCGGCAATTATGATGTCGAAGATGCACCACGTTCTGGAAGGCCGGTTGAAGCTGATGAAGACACGATAAAGGCATTAGTTGATGCAAATCGGCGAATAACAACACGTGAGATCGGTGAGAGGTTAAATTTATCAAATTCAACTGTTTATGACCACTTGAAAGGCCTAGGTTTAACCTCGAAGCTCGATATATGGGTTCCCCATGTTCTCACAGAGAGAAATTTGTGTCGTCGCGTTGACGTTTGTGATTCACTTCTCAAACGTCACAAAGATGATCCATTTTTGAAACGCATTATTACTGGAGACGTAAAATGGATTGTATATAACAATGTCAAACGCAAAAGATTATGGTGCAAAAAAGATGAACCGATTAAAAGCATTTCGAAAGCCAATGTCCATCAAAAAAAGGTGATGCTGTCTGTTTGGTGGGATTTTAAAGGAATCGTTTATTTTGAGCTTTTACCGGATAACACAACAATTAATTCAGAAGTCTACTGTCATCAGTTGGACAAACTGAATGATGCACTTCAACAGAAAAGGCCAGAATTAATCAACAGAAAATATATAGTGTTCCATCAAGCGAGACCTCATACAAGTTTGGTCACTCGCCAAAAGCTTTTACAGCTTGAATGGGATATAATGCCACACCCACCATATTCTCCAGATCTTGCACCTTCGGATTATTATTTGTTTCGGTCACTGCAAAATTTTTTAGACAGTAAAACTTTCACTTCAGATGAGGAGGTCAAAAACCACCTCGATCTGTTTTTTGCCAGCAAAGATCAAAGATTTTATGAGCGTGGTATCATGCTACTACCAGAAATATGGCAAAAGGTATTGGACCAGAATGGCCAATATATCATTTAATAAAAGATTTCATTATAAGAAAATTGTCTTTCATTTTCACAAAAAAAAAAAAACGAAATTACTTTCCGAACAACCCAATATATTTGAAACTATTTAACATATCATTATAACAATACCAGATATTTTAACTCCATCATTTATTTCTTTTTACAAGATTGTATTTAAGTTTCATCATGAAAAATTTTATTTCTCTAATATGTCACTTATTTCTTTTAATTTATAATTTTCAATAAGGTCAAAGAGACTGATTTCTAATAATCGTATATCAAAAAAACGTTTATAGGTGTAAAATTTTCTTGTGCAAAAATTTTTTTTTTTTTTTTTACATAGATATACAATATATACATATTTACATTTTTTTTTTTTTCCAATAAAAAAATAGATTATATAACTTATTAATTACTACAATTCCTGTAAAAACTTTTTTCAATTACAATTCTTCTTTTTTTAGAGAAAATAACTTCGATAATCTGTGCAAGCTATTATTGTTAATATATTGAGTTATCTAGAAAGTTCGTAATAACCAACTTACCAGATAACCCAATAACTTAGACAGCTAATTTATATACACAAGTTATATCTATAAACTTAATATATACATATGTAAATACTAGAAAGTTCATTTGATGTAACTTTTTTTTAAGCTCCATTAGGAAATTCAAATGTAAAAGACATTATTAACATGTTATTCGTTTGTAATATGCTTGATCGTATCATTTTTCATTTCATCTATTGGTTCTGATAAAATAATCACTCCTTGTTCTGGCTCTGTTTTATGAAGACCAATTATAATTTTTTCTTCCGCGGAAGATTGGCTTTCAGAGGAGCCTTCCTGGGTGGAAGTAGCAGCTTCCTAAAACACAAATTAAAAATACTATTAAATTTAATTATCAACAAATTAAAATTCATGTTTTTTGATTTTTTTTTTTTAGAAACTTTTTACAAGATGATGGTGTATCATGAACAAATTATTTGTAAGTGTTAGAATAGAATGATTTCATGCATCTTTTCAACGATATCTACGCATTACAAAATTTACTTACCGTACTACGAATTTTTGTATGCGTTTTAATATGTTTTGTCAGGTGATCTGATCGCATGAACTTTTTCGTGCACTCAGGACACTGGAATCGTTTCTCTCCAGTATGCGTCCTACGATGCCGTTGTAATTCGTCTGATCTTGTAAATTTTTTTCCACAAAATATCCAATTACAAATAAATGGTCGTTCCCCAGTGTGCCATCTTATATGAGCCCGAAGATGACTTGTTTTCCCATAAACTTTATTACAACCAGCATAGTGACAAATGTGCTGACGTTTTCGAGTCATGTCCCTATTTCTAAACATAAAACCATTGTGGTCATCAATGTTATATAAAAGAAAACAAAAACAAAAACCGACTCTAGTAGTGCACGATAAAAAGAACATGAAATCAGTATTAAATTAAAACAATAATAGATCGTACCTATCACCATCACCGCAATTAGGACATGTACAAGCCACCCTTTTTCGATGTTGCTTATTAGTATCTGTATCTACGCTAGCATTGGTTGCAGTTGTTATTTGATGCTGATGTGATGTAGGAGCTGACGTTGTAAGCGTTCCGTTTGGTTGTAATGTTTGTAGAATTTGCCACTTAGATGGATCACTTGATTCTAATTGTAAGGCTGGAGCAGCGACAATAGGTGCTGCAGCAGCAGTAGGTAAAGTTTGTACAGTAGCAGGCTGTAACGCACTTGCTGGTATTACTTGTACATTTCCTAAACCTGGAATATTTTGTAGAGGTATCGACTGAAGAAATCCATTTGTAGTATTCATTCCAGCAGCTGGTTGCAGTTGCATTATACTCCCGCTACCAACACTTCTCATCATATTTCCTTGTTGAGCGGTTAAATTTGCTAGAGCAGATGCAGGAATTAGAGTAAGCTGTTGACCTTGGGCACCTGTGAGAAACATTGAAAATATATCATTTTATATAAATTTATATACATATTATAAACACTTTGACGGCCGCACATTAATATGTGTATATTTTATTATATTTGAAATCATTTTTGTATTTTTTATAAAAATACTAATACAAAATCACATTTTTGTAACACCAGCGGATAACTGCTGACAAAAAAAAGTCACGAATACACAACAGCGGCCGACAATGTGTTAATTACATAAATTACACAATAACAGATACAGAATAATTAATGTACCTGCTATCGTGTTTGGTTGAACTGTAGTTTGCGCAGATTGTGCAGTTGGAATATGTATAATTTGATTAGCCAATTGACTTGCGTCTATATTTGTCAATTTTATATCACCTTCAATTGTTTCAGGGGGTCTTGTTAAAGCAGTTAATGTCTGTACATCAATTTTCTGGCCATCCTTCGTCGTAATTACACTGCTGTTTCCTGGCATAGGCCTTGCAAGTGAACCAATACCAAGTACCTGTAAATACATTTTAGTTTCATTTTTAATATTTTATGCATCATTTGTATTTACTAATATTCATCATATTGTAAATTCATATCTGTCATTACATAAAAAAGAAAAACGTAATATTATTATTACCTGAACATTACTTGGAGTTGTAACAGTTGTACTCCACGTTGCTACTGTAGAAGATGGTGCTGATGATTGCTGTTGAACTGATACTTGTTGAACCTGTTGTTGTTGCTGTTGTTGTTGCTGCTGTTGTTGTTGCTGCTGCTGTTGTTGTTGTTGTTGCTGCTGTTGTTGCTGTTGTTGTTGCTGTATTACTTGTACGACTTGTTGTTGTTGTTGCTGTTGTTGTTGTTGCTGCTGCTGTTGTTGTTGCTGTTGTACTTGCGCTTGTACAGCAGCTTGTTGTTGCTGTTGAACTTGCGCTTGAACTGCATGTTGCTGCTGTACTGATTGTACCACTTGCTGCTGTGCTTGCTGTTGAGCAACTTGTTGAGCCATTTGCGTTACTTGTTGACTCTATAATATCACAAATTTTGTGTTTATTGTTGTAAAAATATTTCATGTAATTCATTAATATATTTACTGATTTTACCCTTACTTGTAAACTTTGTAGTTGTGGTAAATTTGCAATCTGAACTTGTTGAATCTGTCCGTTTGGTGTAATAATCTGAGCCATCTGAGGAATTTGCTGAAATATGTGATTATTTATGAGTATGCATGAATGTAAATCAATTTTTAAAAAACTACAATATTTATAGAGTATTTACTTACTTGTGTAATTTGTGGTATCATTTGTGTAGCTGGCATATTAAAGACACTTAATAAAGCTTGAACAGGAAAATGCACAGTTTGATAGACAGTCTGTCCATTACTGGCAGTGACTGGTACTTGAACAGGCACAGTTTGCTGAACATGTTGCATAGGAAATTGTAATGGTCTTACTTGAACACTTTGTCCTACCAGATAAAAAATAAAATATTATTTTCAATTGATAAAAAAGTAAAATATATGTACATGTATACCATAGATATATTATAATACTAATAGATAAATATAATACATAAAACCATACCTGTAGGCAATTGAACTGTTTGACCAGCAATGTTTTGAATGATAGAAGTAGGAAATACTCCAGGTGCTCTTATAAGACTGACAGGTTGCGGTGTTATAATAGTTTGGCCATTAGCCAATTGCACTTGTTGACTGGCCAGTTGTACTTGCTGTCCATTAGCAGTAGCAAATTGCATTGTAGGCTGTGTTTGATGATGAGCTGCAGCACCCGACATCGCAGAACATGGAAGGAATATAGTTTCTCCCCCTTCAATATTTACAGCTTGCATTTGTGGTATCACATTATAACTAAGTTGCTGCTGTTGCTGTTGCTGCGGTTGTGTCGTTTGTTGTTGTGCCTGATGTTGCTGTGCTTGCTGTTGCTGTTGCTGAAGCGCTGCTTGAGCTTGAGTACCAAGTATTTGTGCACCCTATAAATAAAGAAGAAAATTCCATTGAAACTACTAATCGAACAAAACTATTATTTAATTGATAACTTACCTGTATAAATTGCTGAGGCAAAGATTGTACAGAAATTGTTTGCGTCCTTTGTTGATCATGTTGCGGTTGTTGGGCTTGTAAAGGCACAAAATTTTGCAGTTGTTGTAGAGTAATAACCTGTGGTTGCTGTTGTTGCTGTTGCGCTTGCTGCTGAATATCTTGTTGTTGCTGCTGAAGTTGTTGTAACATGTTGGAACTTAAAAATCTAATTTGTGGTTGAGCCGTTTGCTGTTGTTGATCCAACTGTTGCTGCTCGGCTTCATCTTGATGTTGAGAAGCTTGCGATTGTAAAGGGTCTTGGTCATCGATCTCTTCCTATTAAATTAAACAATGTTTATGTTTCTTTTTTTTTGTATAATTTATAAATCATAACATGAATACAATATCATGCACACTAAAAATATAATGCAAACAAAATTTTTCTTACTTGAGTGATAGCTCTTCCATCAACACTGCGCTTCATCATGAAAATATTTATTTTTTACTTTAGCCAAGTAAATTGGTATAAACTTGAAAATCAATTTGACGTCTACAGTTTTTATGCTAGGATTTCATTTTTCAGCATTCTCCCGCGATAGAAGTTGTTATTGTAATAATGAAAAACCACTTTATTTTCTGTCTGCACACTTCCTGAAAATGGATATATTTTTCACGCAGAATTCCATGGAGGTTTGTTTCCATAAGAGGAAAGAAAAGAAAACATTGTTTTGGAAATAAATAGTATCGAGGATACGAGTAGGATAGTATTAAATCCATCCGGATCTGTTTCGTTTCATCAGAATTTCATATATATCGCGACGGGCGAGGCGTATAAAGAAAGAGTTGACGTCGAATGAGACAAGTACATTTGTATCTACCGTGAAAGAAGAAGAATACGAAGTAAAAAGATTGAGGAGAAATCAGTGACGGATTATTGTTACTCTATCGGTCCAGCAGGGACGATCGCGCAATGCGATATATTGACACGTGCGCGAAGCGAGGGGCTACTCTCTTCCGAGACAAAGATGGACACAGAGCCCTCCTCGAGAACCCGATCGAGGACCGCCTCCCTACGCCCCTGTTCCTACTGTCCCACCCGTTCGCCCACTTTCTCTTTCTCTCTCTCTCTCTCTCTTTCACAGCCACCCAACACACACACGTATATATATATAACATTACCAACTCACTCAGTCATTCTCTCGTTCGTGTTCGGTCGTCTCTTCTCGGAAGAGAGCGCGTATCGGCGTAGCTGCGCCGAAGAGGCGTAAGGCCGCGCGTATAATACCAACACACAGAGGCGCGAACGCGTCATCACACCCGCCCACTCGCGCTCGCCCTTTCGCTTGCTCGCAGGCGTTCACCCTTATACTCACACTATTACTGAGGCTCACGTACTTGCGATATAACGCGCGGAAGGCAGCCTCACGATGCGGCAGCCTCCACCCACTTTGCACATGGGACTCCACCTAATTCTCGGCCAACACGTGCTCTGGCTCTACGAAACAGCACTGCTGCCGCCTCCACCACCTCTTCCTCTTCCCGTTCCCGCCGCCACTTCCACCACCGCCCCTTCCTCTTCCGTTGCTGGTCGTCCACTCTGCTTCTACGCGCGCTCTACCCTTTCCTCTCCTCCCCCCACTTTCACAATCCTTCTATTGCACTTTGTATAAAACTAAATTTCCTTCCCAGAGCCACCTTTTTTTCTCTTTTACAAACCTAACCTTAAAATGCGTCTCTTCAATTTTTTTTACAGTGAAACAAACATCTTCGTATAATAATTATTAATCTTATTAAATAATCCTTCTCGAACCGATCAGTACTTTCGAAAGTGTTCTTACGCGCTATATTCAATGCGCTCCTTGCAAGTAGTTCGAGCAGGTAGCATTGTTATATTTTTTTTTCTACAAGATATCTCCTTACAACAACCTCATGCATCGACTGCACATTTAATACTAACTTCTTTCTTCGATTCTCACTCTCTCTCTCACACACCAGTCCTACTACACTACTGCACTACCACTACTACCTAACACTACTACTCCGTTAATAGCACTACACAACTATACTACCAACACTCGCCGCCACATCACTACATTACTGTTGCATTCCTTTTTTCCTGAAACTAATCTTACACGTATTTTTGACATTAAAATATTTATTCTAATAAATAATAAAAAAAAATGCTAATGTTCGAAATTGCCGCCAAAATGAAAAATGATTTTCGACGAAGAAGTTAGAGGGGAAAGGGGTTCGAGAACACTCGAGCATATACACAAAAGTTTTCAGCAAAGTGAATTCACGTTCACAACAACATTAGTTCGAAATAGCAAAACACGATATCACACGAGGAGGAGGAGGATGATGATCGTTTGGGATCAAGCGCAATTCGCAACGTGACTGCTTGGTAGGCGCGGACAGGAGGACGCGTTAACGTAAGTATGTGTGCTTGTTACGATAGAACAGTTCGTGTACGTGTGCGCGCGGGGCACGCATCAAATACGTGGGACGCGCCGTTTCGTTCGTCCCTCGCGTTCACGGAAACAAGGCCACGAATCCAGCACCGAAAGAGGACTACTTTGGATGGTGGGGCGGCGCGCAAGCAGCACCGTTCACCGTAGCTGAGGACGACGGACGGTGGCTCCGATTGGTCGAGAGCGTCGCTCCGAGACCGAAACTCGTTACGCAGGGGCGTACGCGCTAACCGTCGGACGCCCACCCCAACCGAGGGGGCTAAACCACCTCCTACTTTCACTCAGGCCTTACTTCCCCTCTTTTTGTCCCAAGAGTCCTCCTCTCCCCTTCTTCTCATCCCTCTTTACCCTATTCTGGAGGCCACAACTAAGCGGATCACGAGGCTTGTTCTAAGAACACATAGCCTTGCCCCCCTCTTTCTTTCTCTAACTTTCACTTTCTTTTTCTTTCTTTTTTCAATTTTCCCTTTTTTTCCCTTTGGATTGTTCTATCGTATTTGTCCAACCCAACCTTCCGCTCAGCATGTAGTTTACGATCGAACAAAGGTACGAAAGAATTTCTTTTTCTAGTCTTGGAAATTCTGTTCTAGTCCTTGGACACAGTTTAACGCGTTTTCTATTACAATTGAATACCTTTTGTAGTCCTTCTTCATCTTTTGTTGTACAGTGAGTTTCTCTTGTGCCATCGAATATTGTACTATCATCTGCTATTGGACTAACAACACACTACACGTTTGTGCCGATAGGTGAATTTATATATATATATTTTTTTTATTTTTATTTTATTTTTAGTATATTAGTTAACCTAAATTTTTCTCCCTCTGTCTATCTAAATATATTTAAAATTAGAAAAATCAATAAATTGATCCTTTATAATCATACTCTTTCTCTTTATCTGCCTTTCTCTCTCTCTCTCTCTCTCTTTTCCTCTATACTAACATATATATATATATATATATATATATATATATATATATATATCCACAGAGAGAGAAGAGAAATATACATCAAGAAAGAAACTTATTTTTATGTGCTTTTCATAATAAAAAAATATAATATATATAATATCATTTGTATATGTATATTATTTTTATTATAGTCATGATCAGTTAACATTTTTTTTGTTAAAACATAAGTACATGATAAATATCTATATATCTACATCATAAATAGATATAAATAAATAAATAAATAAATAATGCAGAGTATTTTTTATCTTTATTCTTTTTTTTTAACAGTGAAAATAATCATTAATCTTATTTCACGATATAGTTTTAAATAATAATAATAATAATAATGTAATCATTTTGATTGAAAGAAATGATTTATGTGAAAGTGCTATTTGTTTATACTGTTTATTAATTTAATGGTACGATTAGTAGGATGAAATAAATTAATAAATACTTTTCATGAATCTCATTTCTACTTCTCGTGTGTACCATCATAATATAACAATAAAATTTTCTTAATAAATACGTCGTACGTTTCAAATTTTTTTGTCTAACAATTTACAAATAAAAGCAATCTCATCATTTGAATTCTAATACGTAATATATAATAATTCTGCTAAAATACACTCGAGGAAATCGTTGATTATTCTATGCGATATATTTTTATGTAATGTTTCTTCTGTGTGTTTTTTTTTTTATTTTTTATTTTTATGATAATATGTATGATTTAATGATACGTATTTTTAATGTATTTATGCCTTTACAAGACTTATAATAACTTCATAACAAGTACATGATGAATTTCTTAAAAGATACTTTGATCATTAATGTGTATTTGATATTATAATTATCTGCAGTATAATTATTCAATAATAATATTATAAAATCTTTCAGAGCTCTATATATTAACCATACTGCATTTTGCATATTCTTACAACTTTTTTTTTTTGTATATACATTAAAGATGTTTTTTTTTTTCATTTCACATTTTACTTTTCACATATTCCATATTATATTTTACATATTTACAGCAATATATATATATTCTTGCTGTTAAAAGTGCAATATAACAAATCTTCAAATCTCTGAACTAGAGAATCGTTCAAACTGCAGATAATAAAAAAGACGTTCAGAGTATTTGTAAATAGTTTTTCTTAAGTGTGCAGCCTCGAGTTTTTGTAACATACTATAATAAATAGTTTATTGCAATTTTTATTTAGTATGCTATATACGGAAATAGAGGAAATATAATAATTTCTGTTAGACAGAAATTTCTTCACAGTCCTCCACCGGATCTTTCAACGCTAATTTGTTTCTTCAACATTTCTTTTTCGTGTTGTTCTTGTTCCATCTCAGCCATTCGTGCAAAACGAGAATATGCCACATGTCCAGATTTTATGGCTGACATCATCTGTATTTAAAAGAAAATACAACAAAAATCATAAGTCAAATTTTTATATCAAAAACTTTTTACACACCAAATTCATTTACGTACGTTTACACAATATTAATTAGTTATTTTGTAGAATTAATTTATGAATTTTGTTATCACGTAGTTCATTTACAATAATAATCCAAATAAATCATTGAAAATAAATACATAAATGAACAAATTCGATAACAAAAGAGAACGAAACAATATAAAAAATAATGAAATTGAAATAATACTTTTCGATTTCATTGACACGTGTAATAACAAATACTTAAATATAATCATCATGCATAAAACAATTGCAAAATAAATATATCAAAAAAAAAAAAAAAGAAGAAGAAAAAATAGCACAAACAAGTGTCTGTTATAATTGTGAAATATCAATTTGCAATAATAATTAGCAAAGAATTGTTACCAGGCTGCAAATGGCACGTCATCACAGCATAAGTGCAACAGGTTTGAAAGATGAGTATTTTTTAGTAATATGCTATCGTTTATGTAAAAAAAAACGTATCAGTGGATGAGATAGAAAACAAGCATATTATTAAGATATCATTTGGAATCAATAAATATTTGTACAGCAATTATCAATTGGCAAATATTCCATTACAGTGGATGTTGTAAATTAAAAAAAAAAAAAAAAAAAGAAAAACAATAAAAATAAATAATAATTTGATATCTTGCAAAGTAACGATAACAAACAATATATTTAGAGAGCAGCAAAACTAATTTGACAATCTGTGCATATTAATATTCACAGACCTGAAGGTACTCATCCAATTCAACTTGACCGTTCATATTAGTGTCGATTTCGCGGAGTATTTCATGAAGTTCTTCACCTGGTACATCCTTGTCACCAAATAGCTGTGAATAGTAAACAAAATATCTAAATTATAAATGTAATTAATAGTTTACCTGTAAATAATCTTGTAACTCCATTTGTCCATTATAGCTGAGATCAATTTCATTGAGTAATGTGTGTATCTCATCTTCATTTAACTTAATACCAAGTACCTAGATATTAACAATCGCATAAAGTATAAAATGAAGAAACTCAAATAATACTAAAAAGAAAGATAGAAAAGAGAAGACAAATTATTTTTGAAAGCAAACCTTGAGTCCTCTCCTGATGTCATTAATCGACACGTATCCTTTGTTGTCCTTATCGATAATACCAAAACGTTTGATATATAATTGGATTTCGTCTTTTGTAAGATTAATGGGTATTTTGTCCCTGGATGCACGATTCACCATTTGTCCCATCTCATTCGAAAGAAATTCGCTAGCCTCACGTTGTTGTTTCTTTTTCTCTTCGGCTGACCAATGAAGTTCTTCAGCCATGATATCTATAATTCCTGGAAGAGCTTCCTGGGCAGCTTGTACATTAAGAAAGGCAAGTCTGAGTCGTCGTGCGATCATATCGATTGCAGTACGAGCATATTCACGTACTCCATAACGAACCTAAAATATAAACCATACACATATTATAATGTCTAACGATATTAATAATATTTGTAAATAATAAGAAAAATTCATTTTTACCTCGGCATCAATATATGGAAACTCTGGATGAAGTTTTTTACCAATGATAGGCCAACGTTTGCCAGTAAGTGATGCCATTTTTGCAACTGCAAATGCACGATCTCCATAACTTTTGGAAAGATGTTCTGCGGTTTCACATTCCAAACCAAAATCTTGTACTAATCTAATATACATCGTAGGAGTCCAACCATGTGCTCCTTCTAAGAGAAATCCATCAGTCTGGCATTCTCTTTCAGGAGTTAAATCGCAGGCTATACATTAAAAGTATTATTAGATTAATATGTACAATGCGCATTATTCATTATTAAAAATACCTTTGATAGCTGCATCAATTGTTTCTTGAGCCATAGCACGATATGTTGTCCATTTTCCGCCAGCAATTGTAATAAGTTTCGTAGGACTGACGTGTACTATATGATTTCTAGCTAACGATTGTGTATTTGGTTTGTTTGGATCAGATACCAATGGCCTGATACCACTCCAAGCTGATAATACATCACCACGACGTACTTCAACGTCAGGATTGAGGTAGTTCTTAACTTCTTGTAAGATAAACATAATTTCGTCTTCAGTCGGACGTGGATTGTGCGTTACTTCACAGGGTAGGTCAGTTGTACCCGCAATTGTTTGCTTTTGCCATGGCAAAAAGAAGATAACACGACCGTCGCTAGTCGCAGGATCTAGGAGACCCATCTGGTCGGGACTAAAGAATTTCTTAAGAACTTGTTTTTTTTTTCTTCTTGATTTATAGAATAGAAATTGACTATTTTACAATAACATACCTGTAATAACCTGGAAGAACAATGTGAACTCCAGACGAAGGAGCACAAATCTCTTTCACATTTTGGTCATCCATCTTTCTAATATGATCCGTGAAAGGTCCTGTTGCGTTTATTATAGCTCTTGCTTTCACATCCCATTCTTCTCCTGTAAGTTCGTCCTTCAAACGAGCTCCTGTAAGTACCCTGTTACCATCCTGTACAAAAAACAAACAAAGAATATAACAATTAAACGAATAAACTTAGATTTCATTGTTCTCAATGTCTTTCAAAACTTTTTTACTTACTCTATCGAGACCTTTTAATAGATTAACAACTTTAACATGATTTACAACAGTTGCTCCATGTCTGGAGGCTGTCAAAGCAATCGCTAAGTTCATCCTAGCGTCGTCTTGTTGACCTAAGATTTAATATAATATTAAATAATGAATAATGAAGATATTAAAAGTTAGTTTTAAATATGAAAATCTTACCGTCGTAATAAACGATAGCTCCAGTCAATTTATCACCCTTCAACATAGGGAAAAGTTCGAGAGCGTTCGATTTGCTAAGATAATACGACGACTTAACAGTTTTACTGCCTGCTACTATGTCGTACATTTTTATACCAAACCAATAATAGGGAATTTGCCACCATCTATCGAGAAAACACAAGGGAATCAAAATGAACAAAGGAAGCTTTTGTTAAACGTTTTATAAATATAATTAATAAGATGATCGTGTTACAATGATAAAATACGTACGTATAAACTGGTAACATGATAGGTAAAGGATGAGCAAGATGAGGTGCACTATGTAACATTGATGCACGCTCATGTAAAGCTTCTTTAACCATTTTATATTGTTCTATGTCTATTTGCATTATAGCCTTTTGCAAATAACGTACACCTCCATGAATCAATTTCGTACTCCTGGAGGAAGTGCCGGAGGCAAAGTCGTCCGCTTCTACCAATGCCGTTTTTAAACCTTGATGAAACATAAAAAGAAAATATGAGTATCAAATATTAATAACAATTTTTTTTTTTATATAATATAATTATAATAATATTTACTATTATTATAATTATTAATTATAATTATATATATATATATAATAAATATTATTATATCAAATTTGATGAAATATTTATATTCAATAATTCTTCATAGATATACAATATTAATATTAATATTACTTATGATTACAATATTTATTTTATATAATATTTATTTTTCTTATCTCAGATAAAGTATTTACAATCAATATAGATATAAAGTTACCTCTTGTGCAAGCGTCAAGAGCACATCCTGCACCAGTTGCACCACCTCCAATGATAAGAACATCATAATCTTGAGATTTCAATGTCGCTACTTGATTTTCTCTAGTTGGCAGTGGTCTCTTAACTGGTTTTGGCTTTTCAGCATGTACCACCTTGTGTATAAACATTATAAAAATGATAAATTAATAAAATATGAATATATATTGAACTTATTTTTTAATAAACTTTCTAAATAAACATATAAATTACTTGTACATTTGAACATTTAATGCGACACATACTTTAGATCTTTGATATAAATCAAGGTATCATTAAATATCGATCTATATTAATGTTTTATCCCTTTTGTAATTTCTGGTAAAATAAAAAAAAAAAAGGTAATAAAAATAAAAAGATCAGCCACATGGGAGAGCTCGAACGTCTTCACACTTTGTTAATTTCTAATCGATAAAAAGCTTTGATCACGTTCCTTCCACATCCCTTCGCAGTTATAATATATTTTATTAATATATATATACTTATAAATATTTTTTATAATATTTACAGAAAGAAAAAAAAAAGTAATAATCAATCGTATGAATTAGATAACGAATAGTTAAATATCTCGTCGTATCCTAAATTTATGCGTTGACTATTATCGTGGTTAGCGAACATACGTGCCAGCTATGTATATGAATAGCCTTGAAACAAAGAAGTAATAACGATAAAATGACCTAACATTTTCACTCAAGATCTTACAATAGAAAACAAATTTATGTTTCATTGATAAATTCATTATAAATCTTATTTTATGTTCTTTACATAATTACATTATAGAATTTTAAATATTATTTGAATATTATTTATGTTTTTTCTATAATTACATTATGGAATTAAATATTATTTATATGTTCTGTTTATAATTAAATTATAGAATTAAATACTATTTGAAAAAGAACATATTTATTTATTTTTTTTTTTTAATTTCTTTAGTATATTAATTATTAGTTTTGTATATAAATAGTTATTATTATTATTAATATAAATATTATTTTATATATATTATTATTAATAATAATATATATTATTAACTTATATTATTATATTAAATTAATATAATATATATTATTATATTAATTAATTAAATAAGTATTAATTATCTATTAGTAAAAATTAGTATTTTAATAAGTTTAAAAATTCTCCTACATTAATTGAAACTTTTATAATCAAAAATGAATTTTCTAAAACGCCTACTTTTCACAATGATAAATTATTTTTTTTGCTTGTAATGCATATTTTAGAAAAAAAAAGAAGAAATATTACGACGTATACATGTATGTATATTTAGATTTGCCTGTCTGCTGCTGTTGTTTTGTGTATTTACACGTTTTATTAAAAATCTAAATAAAAATAATAATTTTTATATGATCTTTAAATGAATCAATCAATTTGAAATGATTCGACGATGATTATTAACAAGTAAAATGTTCTTATATAATGAGCTGATAAATAAATGAACAAGTCTCATATTTGAAAATATTCAACCAGGGTGTTCAGCTCTTCAGATCATCTTACTTTGGGATTCTTCTATTTGAGATAAATGTTTTTGTTTCGTTCGTGTGTTAGAAATAGTCGTTTAGCACCGGACCTTACGATTTACCCTGGCCTGGCACATGTTCTTTTAGAACTCGTGAAATTTTTGGTTTATATCCACGTGATCATTGACTGACTGACTGTCTGACTGTCGGACTATCGTTATCTAAAAGTCGCATTACAAAATATAAATATTATTTTAAATCCTTGAATTACTACTTACAATCGAGACAAGTTTTTATATCAATACTTTACTTATCTTTATCTTTATATTTTTTCTCTCTCTCTCTCTCTCTATTTTTATGCAAAACATTTTTCAAAGTAATTGTCTTTTATTTCAAATACTCACCGTTGAATCGGATAAGAATAAATAGGATGTTAATGCGCCAGTTCCTACTGCGCTAGCACCTGCTACCAGTAACTTCAACGAAGCCATTTTGTATTTATTTATTTATTTATTTATTTTCTCTTCTATTTCTTTCCCTCGATGGTAAATAAATCCTTCAAGAATAATCTGAAATCAAAATTATTGTTAAGTAATGTTAATTTAATTTACATAATAATTATATCTGAGACTGTATTGTTCAATTAGATTAACCCATTAACTGCCAAATTATTTTTGGTTACAGAAATAATTTAACTTAAATAAGAATTGTGACTGGTTGCACGAAAAAATACTAATAAGAGACTATTACTTATTTCTTATATTATTTCCCATACATACAAAATAGCTATTATTATGCCATTTTTCCATAACAGTCCACATAAAACCGAGTGGTGTACGTAAAATTGCAAAATTCCCAAATAGGGATCGTGGCAGCTAATGGGTTAATGTTTAAAGACCAAAGATTTAATAGTTTAATTAGGTTTATTAAGATGATGGGGTATTATTCTTATTCAGTTATTTTCTTTTTGTTTAAAAGTAAAATTGATATAACCATATTTTTTTGCACTATTCTTTTGTTATTGTTCTTCTACGATTTTACGATCTAACAAGTGTTCAGTATCTCATGTTAAATATATCCAAAATTATTCAAGTAATCCTTTCTATTTTATCCCATATAACCACATAAATTAACAATTATGATAAGAAATGTGTTGAATATATAAAACATTTTGAAATTATAATACGATAAAATATTCTACGACTTAAGACATTATTATAAAGTGTTTCGAAAGAACAAAATCATCATAGTTCATTAAAATTCATATATGTGCCCATAATTATGAAAGTGGTCTATGGGTCTAAGTCATGTATCTCTTATTTCGAGATATTTCAAGATTTTTATTTGAACACACTATATGAATTCTATGTAACATCTAACGATTCATTTTTGACAATATCGTTTTCAAATTACATTGCATTTATTTAGTTTCAAATAATGTAATGCGTAATAACTAATAAACTCATTTTTTGTTTTAATTCTGACTTATTGTTAGATAACTTTCATAATTATGAGCACATATGTTTCTTTTCTTTTTTTTTTTTTTTTAAGTCATAGTAAATAGATTCATCTTTTTTCTGTGAGGAATAAGATTGAAAAAGATAATCCCCATAGACAGTAGAGGGGTGAGGGGGAAGGGGGCAGGCATTTCAATTTACATATTAGGCTCGTTATTATAAATAATATTCTGAATATATATATTCATAATTATATAATTAATGTAAAAAAATTCGAATTGATACATTTATTAATTATGATACTAGGGTTCATGTTACGAACACGTGATAATATATTTGTTAGATGTAAATTTCCATTGAGAGAGAGAGAGAGAGAAAGAGAGAGAGAGAGAGACTCAAGTGAAGATTAAAACATGAGAGTATATACATCAATGATTATTATACATAAAATTGCGCATTAATTGTTTTACAATGTCAATGAAAAGAAGAAGAAAAAACTGATTAATGAAATAAAGTATAAATTAAAAAAAAAAAAAAAAAAAAAAAAAAAAGAAGTATGTTAAAAATGACACATGTTCAATATGTGTGAAGTTTATGATTAACTAATCTTCACTATAGATAGCTGTTGACGATCTTCAGTAAAGATTATATCATTAGTAAAAAAAAAATTACGTAACGAAATTGTTTCTTCTTCTGTGAGCATGAGACAAGAAACATTACGCATTTTATCGATGACTATTGACGCATACAGAAAATATGTATCCACTAATTTCCTTAGTGAGAAATCTCAGCTTACAATTAGATAAGAATCGATAAAAAAAAACTTATCATCGTTGAATGATAAGATGAAATGAAACGAGAAGATAGAAGAAAAAAATGTAAGAAGAGAGAGAGAGAGAGAGAGAGAGAGAGAGAGAGAGAATGAATTAAAAATATAAATAATAAAAAAAAAAATGTTAAATGAATTATTGTACGTGTAAATGATTATTAACTTAAAAATGCAACAACAAATATGTGCAGAAGAAATTTCTGAGTATGAATCTCAGACCACTTATAAAAAGAATCGATAAAAGACCACTCTTCTCATGTTACGAAGAGACAGCAGAGATAGAAGAAAGAAAAAAAATATATATATATTTACAGTTAACTGTGACAAATAAAAAAATTGTTCAATTGATTAAAAAAAAACTACAAGTACTTTTGTGAGAGGTTAGAAGTATTTTTTTTTCTTTTTTTGAGTATTTGATAGACTAAAAAACAAAAAGAAACAAAAAACATATCTCTTTATAATCTATTTATCTAACTATTTATAATGGTTATATTAATAGTAATTAAAAATACAATTCTCCATCTATTTTTAGGTTAACCAATTAATTATCTCGAAGGATATCGAAATTGGCAATGAGCGAAAGACTAGTTGACGACGACAAGTTTAAATTCTTTTTCTTGTATCACCTTTTCTAATTTTTCATCTCACGTGACATATCAATTTCGTATAAGATATAATATATATACATGCATAATTATATTATACATATATATATATTGTATTTTATCGGTTTGCACATTGTACTTAACACTAGTTACATACATATAATCATTTACGTCTCTATATATAGTTTTTATGTTACACACTTTTTTCTTTCTTTCTTTCTTTCCTTCTTTCTTTCTTTTCATTTTTATTAATTTTTTTTTCTTCATTAACTACGTGAATCGTAAGATATTAGATTATTCGTTAAGATTCTTATCTAATAAGTACTACGTGTATCAACATACGTGACACACGTGTGTGAATTAATTTTTATAATTTTTACATTTATTTCTTTTTCTTTTTTTTTTTAAATAATTCAAACAAATGATTGTACGACTAGAGTAGTAGTAATATAAGATGGACGTATGAAATAGATTAATTAATGAATGTTTTCTTTTATAAAAAAATATTCTCTTAGTTCTTGTAGTATTACAATTTACAAAGAAAATTATAACATAAGAAGAATCTTGAAACAATGTAATTATTATTTTTTGTTTAAATTATTTAAAAATTTCGAATTCATTCATCATCTTCCATTGGATTGTTTGAAAAGTTCTTTTTTTTGTCGAATTTATAAATTAAATGATATTTATTTTATTGGTTTATTATTGTTAATACTGAACTTTACTTTTTTTCAATCCCTTCTCTCTTTTTTTTCTTTTAATTTCAAGATATATCAAATCACTTAATTATGAAACTTTCGATTATTACGATTACTTTCAGTTTGAAATCGGACATCTTTCATGCTTATCTAAATAATTTCTTTCCTCTTGTTTATCTTTAAATCTATATCTATATGCGTGAAACTATCTTCCACGTGCAAAATTCTTGTAACGATTCCAATTAGTATATAGACGAGGAAGTGACAAATAAAAGACAATGTCCTCTGTAATATTTCAATTATATACACATGTGTATCACATAAATATATTAATTAATTATACATAATATATATTTGAAAATAATTCATAAATTATTCATTAATAGTTCACATTTTTTTTTTTATATGAACTTGTTCAAAGATAATCAAATTGATATGCAGCAGGTAAGAAGATCAGACTCCTATAAAAACCTTTTATTTGATTTCGAAAATAAGATGTTGGGGGCGGGGAGGGGAGGGGGACAACGGATATGATACATTATTATGCTAACATACAATCAAAATTTGGCACAAGTTTTATACTCGAAGTATTGTAATGCCAAACGAATGTATCACGAGAATCGCGTTGAGTATAAACTAGTTGCTACCAGTACCTGTTGCATTATAGAAACTCTTATTCGTTTTCGTGGCAGACATATGTATATACATATATTTATGAGTATATGTGTATATATATGTATGTGTGTCGTGTGAGTTACGTCATACATTATCTTAGCTTTTCTTAATATTCAGTGAAAGCTTAGATAAAAAGCGTAAACTTGCTGACTTGATCTCAAATACATGGTAATAGAATAATAATTAATCAAATGAATTAATAATTTAGTCTGGATTTTCTTTTCAAAAAGAAACAAAAGAATTACGAAGAGAAATATATCGATATTTTAAATTACGCGGGAATTCTTAGAATTTAAACTACCCTAGTAGCACAAAATATTGAAAAATATTGAATACATGTGTATTTAATAATAAAAAGAGATTTAATGTTTTTTTAATATTAAATACACATATATTCAATATTTTTCAATATTTTATGCTACTAAGATGTAATAATTTGATCCAAGACGTAACACACTAACGTCCGCCATCTTAAATGATATATACATATATTTTACAAGAATGCAAATAAAAAGTGTATTTGTTTAAAAGAAAATGTTCAAAGAAAATGAACAAATTTTCATTAATTAAAAGACGTAAGATTTTCTTCGATAAATGATGAAAAATATTAAATAGGGTACCAAGTATCCTTGAATATGATTATGACTAGAATGGTTTCTAGAAAACAAGACCTTGATAATGCCCCCTCGAGCACGTGTAATTACGTAAGCCCTATCTCTCGATGTTGAGACGAACGAAAACTACGCGTACCAACGATAGGCGTAAATGACATTGGAAAATTATAATTCGTCGTTCTTTAACAGAAAGATTGCACCTGAGGACAAGTACCAGGATACAATAATACATGAAATATTTGAACGTACATTTTAAAACTCCCTACTTGAATTATTCTATCTACCACCCTACACAATCTCAAGAGGTCATATTTTACCCTTTAGTGATGAGGACTTGCGCGGACAATACACTCTAAAAATTTACAATATATATGTATATATGTATATGTGTATATATATGTATGTATATATATATATATATATATATATGCATTTGTGAGAAGAGAGGCCGATGTCGCAAGGACGTATTCGAAATAGCTGCCACTTTCGTGCCAAATGTTTTCGAATGTCAAGACAGGCCGTAGGTAAGATAATGATTAGGTATGGTCCTACATTGAATTCATTTACGAAACGTCAGTAAGAGGCCAAGTCAAGCGTACATAATCGAATAATAAAAAAAAAGGGACACAAAACAAAATTTCAAACAACAAAAAAAACGGTCTATAGCCTACAGGTAAATATCTTTCTTTTTAAGAGGTTAAGCCGGGTTCGAGCGCGCATTGATTCGAACAAGAAATGAAGTAGGCGCGCCACGGGACTCTTGTCTCTTTTTTTTTTTTCTTCTACAACAATATATCACACGTTACACCTACTACATCTGTGAATCTCTCTCTCTTTCTCTTACAAATAGATATACTAATATACTCTATCTCTCTCTCTCTCTCTTGTTTCTTTCTCTTTACTCGTTTAAAGAACATTTTTATGTAATAATTTGGAAGTTTGTTTGAATGACATTTACTCACCGCGAGATATGTCGTCTCAATGTTTCGTCCACGATCGTTCTCCAATAGAATAAATAAGAACTTTACAACTTTTTAACGAAGGACATATTCACCGACGATAATCGCGACAGTTCGCATCGTCCAGCGATCTGTGTGAACTGTTTCGCGACAACTACAAGAACGGTACAAACGAACCGGCCCGGGAGCCAACTGAGAACCCTACTATCTCGATTAAAGCGATATCTCACGGATGTTATCAGAATTAAATGAGACCCCCCACTATGGTTTTTTATAACCTATCAAAGTGACGCTTTGCAGATATATTAGAAAAAAAGAATGACTTATAATAGATATCAACCAATCATATATCTTTTACGGATAAAAATTCAGTTTAAATTTGTATTACATATATACATATATGAAATTGTTTTTAAAAGAGATTTTCTTTTTATTTACGATATCGTTCTTGCTTATATATTTATTATTTTCTTTCTTTGATTTAAATGAATTTTTATCTTTATCAAGATACAGGAATTGGAGGGTAGCAAAGTATTTAAATAGAATATTTTACTTTTGTTATTTTACAGCAAAATATCTGTACAAATTAGGCACTCTTTTTTTCTTTTCAACAATTATTGTTATAAAGTTTCATATACATAGTGAAATACTATAGTATATATAATCATGGGATGTTCTTAATACTAATAACAGCTAACACCATATTAGTTAACTTTTTAACACAATAAAGAGATGTAAAGATAATACAAATGTAGATGTATGATGAATGATGTACAATAAATAGCAAAGATCTTTGCAAGAATCAAAACACGCCTCACAACATCGTTGAAACCTACTATTTACACAAATTGTTATATCAAAATATATAATTACTTTGTTACACGATTAATTTCTTTTGTATTATTATTATTATTATTATTATTATTATTATTGCTTTTTTTTTTGTCAGCTAAAAATATGACTTTGAAATTACACTTCGTCAGAAGCTAACAACTCTCTGTCAGCTGGAGAAGATGTTTTTTCATTTCTCTCTTCTTCCTTCATTTGAAGAGCCACAGCTGATTCCAATACTCGTATCCTTCCTTCGTGTTTTACAATAACAGCTTTTAACTTTCTAATTTCCTCTGTGAATTCTTTTAACATTTCTTCCTACAAAAAGTAAAAAAAAAAATACTATTTTTAGAATATGAAATATAACATGTGTATATGAATTGTTGTTTCATAAAAAAAGAAAATATAAAACTTACAAGAATGCCAGGTGAAACTTGTGCAGTATTTTGTGCAGTATTGGATCCAACTTTGGCTCCTTTATCTAATATATTTGTTTTCTTATGTACTTTAAGTTCATTTTTAGATGACGATGGTTGATAACCATCTCTAAGAGATATCAGTATGGGATCAGCATCAGCACCGCTCTCCCATTCTTCTGCAGTTATTGCAGCTGTATCCCCAGGAGTATCAGGATACAAGTCTTCTTGAAAAAGCTCAGACTATAAGACAATATAATATATAAAAGAATAAATGAAAACAATAATACACGCATATATAGCAAAGTTATAATTTCTAAGAACATAATACATATAATAATAATAATTTGTAACAACATTTACCTTTCTAGGAACAGTCATCGAAATGACTTGACAAAAGCCTGAATTATTTAGTCGATAAAATCTGCTGATTTCACAGCTATTAACATCACAACCTCGTTTTGGCATCATTCCTATGCCTCGTTGAGGGTCAGGAGTTTGAAAAGTATTGATATAATGAACAAACGGAGGTTCGGGTGTAATCTCAAAGTATCGAATAACAGAATCACCCTTGCCACAGAGATATACCAAATTTGTATCAGGATCATACAAAGGAAACATAACTCCGTTGCTGGTATCTAATTCTACCATAACTATAGGTTCACCTAACATATCTGGGGCTCGTAACGAATACTGCCTTTCAGACATTTTACTGAACCCAGTTGTGAAAACCAAACCTCCCCTGAAACAGAATAAATATTATTAAATATTAATAGAAAATGTTAACTTATTCAATTATTGGCACTGGATTAGTAATGTTACAAGCACTATTAGATAATTAAATTGATATGCCATTAATATATTAATAGATAATAAAACTACTCCAATTTTGTTTTAATTTGGTAGGTTTGAGTGGTGAACTTAGCATTTTCTCTCACTCCTTTATACAATATGTGTAAATATAAGTCACATAATTATTGAAGATATAATCGACATATCTTCTTTAAATAGTAACATGATTTTTGGTGCAAAATTCCATGAAAATGTGTGTACATATTTATATATGCATATATATATACACGGAGATATGACTCCATGAGAAAAAGTAAATTAATTTTCCTTCTTTTTTTTCTTTTTTTTTGTTTTTTTAACAATAAAAATTGAAACAATTGACAAACAATATTACAATAAACGTATTAATAATTTGAGTAGGATATTTTAACAAAGGAAAATTAATTTATATTCGTTTTTAAAAATAGAAATCTTCCCCAGTAGATATGTAAAATATGAGATATTATACATAAAACCGAAATCCCTACTGTAAAAGATGTGACATAAAGGATAATCCATGTTTTATTTGTGTATAATGTGTAATGTACATGGAAGATAGATAATCAAGTTGGCCGCGTGCCTGATTAAGGTACATACTGTATATTTGTTTTAGTTTTATTTTTATTGTATTATATCGGAGGCAATACACATTATATCTTCTGTACCTATATTAATCATCAGTACTTATTAACATCCACCTTGTTACAACATAAACAGAGACTTTGCAACTGTTCATAAGTGCTTTCATCGGAGGAATTATTGTTTTACTCAGTCTGTAGCCACGTACAAACTTAACTTGTTAAAAATGCGATTATATTGCTTCTATACATTTAAATAATAAAGATAAAGTAAAACTTCAACAGTACATTTATTAATTGAATATTTCAGTAACCAGCATTAGTAGTCTTCACAAACTGTACCATGTTGCTGTAGTATTAGATTTAAAAAAATAGGACATTTTATTATATAGTTAAATGAAAATGAAAAATAACCCTTTGACAACATTAACTGTAAATGAATTTTTGTCAATCATCTATCTTCTAAGAATGCAAAAAATGTTTCTGTGATATATGTATATGCAATATAGATCTAACAATACTTCCCTTTCAAATTTGTGAGCAGCAAATGATTCTTCTTATTTCCAAAAATATAAATAAAATGTAATAGTTAAATATATTTTAATATAGAGAATCATATATATATATATTCTAGACTGAGACAATGATACTTTACATTTTCAGCATGATACTTCGGATGAATAAGTTAATGTACAATACTTACTGTAATATTTAACTGGACATTATAGAGCAGACGTCTTGATATTTGCATTTATTAAGGTGGTGTCCTCCTCATGATGAAATTTCAACCTTGAAGTTTTCCATTAAAATTATGTGAATCTTGCACTACACAAATTGGAAAGACCAAGTGATAAAAAGCAATGGAAATAATTCTATTGTGCAGACAAATGCCTCATTTAGAAAGCTGTTGCAGATTTTTTTTCTCATAACCAAAGAAATAATCCAGAAATACATAAAAAGGATCACAATAAACCAATGTAGCAAGCAATTTGACTAAATTAGGCTGATTGTTTGAAGCAATTAAAATATATATCCCTTTTTTACTAACAAAAGAAAGAAAAGTATTCAATTTATAATTCAATATTTTCTCTTTTCTTCTTCAATTAATTTATAGTTCAAATAGTTGAATCCTAAATAGAAGAGCAATTAATATGATATTAATTATAATGTAAAAAGGCGGATGTATATAGTTCGATGATCGATAGAAAAAAAAAATATTACTTGGCTACGTTAAAAAAAAAAAAATTAGAATATGTAGTACCCTGTATAAACCATTAATTTATATGTATAAAATGATACTCATAATAATACATATAAATTATCCTATCGTTCACAAATATATATATGTTTTGCTATTGTATATAATATTTTGTATACATATTCTTTTAAGAAAACTTGATAATTCACATATTACAATTGATACAAAAGAAATACTTATATATATATATATATGTATGTATGTTAAATTCACTTGCTCATCGTGACACTGTCCTATTTTATTAAATCTATAAAAATAAATAATACTATATAAATAAATTTTCCAGCAATTAAAGATACTGTGCATTTCTATTCTATGCGTGAAGAGCATTCACTGAAATAAATGTTTCATATAATTTATTATTTAATATATTAAATATATATTTTTATTATTGTGTTCCCATAATTATAAAAATGTTCACCACTCTAAGTGTGCATTTGTGCACCATCACCTTGTATGCAAATTTTCATGTGCAATATGCACCAATGTTGTGATTAAATAATAGATATTTGCAAAGCATATAGTGTATTATTGTTACATAGGCGCATTTAAGACTAACTACTGTCATTCTTGTAATATAGAAAGCATCTTACAGGCACATAAAGTTTTTCATTTGTAGATACATTGAAGCATTATAATGCTGTATTAAAACAATTTAAGGCAGCTATATTTTATACTTTTTAATATTTATAAATTACCAGAAATGGAAGACATGCCTTTATATATAAAGTACAGTTCTAATTACTATAGGTGTGCATGCTTAAATTTTGACTATAGTTATAATATGTATATATGTTTATTATTTATTTCAATGTAAATGTTTTAATCATATATATCAAATATCATAAATCTGCCTTTTTTTTTTTTTTTTTTAAATATTACAAAAATATCTTGCAAGAGTCTTATTAATGTTCATTAAAATTCAAACTGATTTATTTCAATATTATTATCAAATATAAAATAAAACCTATTATAGTGATAAAAAGCTAATCATAAGAATAAACTTATGAAATTAATACTCTCCTGTCTGTGATTATAATTATATTAAATTAAAAACATTTTCAAACAAGATAAATAAAAATAATGTTACTTACAAGTAAGAGAGATCATTTTTAATCATTAAAATAAACAATAAGAGAATAAAAAGTATAATGTATTTGCATACCTTAAAAATATTGCACGTGTTGCTTTGCTTCCTTCATGGGCAATAGCATCTTCTAAAACTTTTCCTGTTCTTGGATCTAAGATACGAATCCTTTTGTCCTTACATGTAGTTACCAATCGGGATCCATCCCAGTTCCAACAGGCAGAATAAATAACATCAGGATGAGAGTCTATTCTTACTAAACATTCACCGGTTCCAACATTCCAAATTAAAACAAGATTGTCTGATCCAGCAGTGAGTAATACGTTTAACGCTGTAGGATGCCATAGCACAAGACCGACCCTTCGTTGATGCAATTGTAAGTCTACTACAGACTCTGTCAATGTCCTGGAAATACCTCCATCCGGTATTTGCCATATTTTAACAACGCAATCTTCAGATCCAGAAGCTATGACATTATCATTATGAGGGCACCATGCGATATCTAATACAGGACCTTTGTGTCCACCCACTAAGGGATAGTCTGCTGATATTCTTCCTACCTAGAAAAATAATTCAATGATCAGTTTTAGAGATTACTGTAACTAAGGTATTTATGATAATAATCTATGCATATAAATTAAGAAACAAATTCTTCTAAGTATTAAAGTAAAATTACTACAATGTACTCAGTAAAGATATATTGTATAAATAAGAAATGAAAGAAGTTTATAAATTTACCTTATTATGGGGTAAAACTATGAAAGCACCACCGCCCGCGGACTCAACGATGATAGCCAGAAATTTCGGATTTACGGCGCAAAATGTAGAATCCCATGAGGATTTGGAAACTCTAATATTGTCATAGCATTGTTCCCGTTTTAAAGACGTTCCGTACACGTGGCGGAACTTGCTGCTACGTACAACACGAAAAGACATATCTGCACCTACTTTCAACGCAAACAAAAATTAAACCAACAAATATTAACCTAGAAGGAAACACCAATATCTTGATACACCGGCTATTATGATTATTTTAATAAATTATTGTTACGTGGGCACTGCGGGCGTGGGCGACGCATGGAACATCCCCCAATTTATAAATAGATTCCCCACCCTTGACGTCGAAACGAGCGCGACTGAAATAAGAATATTTCCAAACCGTGATTTTGTATCCCGGTCTCTCTTTCTACGAGTTAATATGTGCAAATGAAGTGTATACCAGGGTTGCCAATTATTACAAATATAAGAGGAAACTTTTCTCTTACTCTTTCTCTTTCTATCTTTCTCTGCATCCTGAGCTTGATGCATCAGAAAATAGATTTCATTCTAACCGAAATTGGCGACTACAGAAATAAACTCTCTCTGTTGCTTTTATAAGAACATGATTCATAATGAGAAACGCTACAGTCACGTACATATATACATATATAATATATACATATATAATATATATATANAAATAAATAGAGAATTAATGCACGATCTTATCGTGATTGTAAATTGAGTGAGATTGAAGGAAGCTAACATAGAATATTTAAGTAATTTACAATATACATATATAATATATATATATATATATATATATATATATATAAATATATATATATGTACATATGTTAATGTTACAACAATATATTATAGTTAAATAAATAGAGAATTAATGCACGATCTTATCGTGATTGTAAATTGAGTGAGATTGAAGGAAGCTAACATAGAATATTTAAGTAATTTACAATATTCAAATAGCACAATTCAGTACTTTTTTCATAAGATGGAAATGTATTTGTGAATGCGAGTACGCATTCATATGTAAAGAAATACACAAATCTTCCATTATGCTTCACTTTAATGAATACAAAAAAAGAGTTTATATACGTACTACTATTTTATTACTCTCAAGTAGTCTTTGATCTTTACGATATCACTGTAACTTCATGATAAAAACAGTTACTTGATACGGTAACAGTCATACGGGTATGGCAGGTGATGCGTCACCGGTATGATTCACTGAATAAGAGGAATAATTTTCATTAGAATCTAAGAGAACGGTATAAAAATATATTATTTATGCGTCCTTCCTTACTTCTTTTTCATCTTCTTCTTTTCTATACTATACATAGGTAAACAATGTAAAATGTATCTACGCTAGAAGGTTGAACATTTGAATACTCCCGCCATTATTCTAATTCACCACATTGTAATTCATTAGGCGTCCACGTCCTAGTAGCGCCATTTAACACAAACGAATCGGTCGTTTCAGAACACCTTATTTGGAAATGCGCACCCTACTCACGCGAAAACCCACCCCCGGATAATATTATTTTCTTTTAAACTTTTTTAACTCGTATATTTAAATAAATATACATTTAGCTTTAAATTATATTTTTTAATTGTTTTGCACACATAATAATTGCAACAATATAATTGCAAAACATATCACTTGTCAAAATTGTTTTATCGTCATTTAAAAAAGAAAAAATTTAATCTAACTAATCAATAATATAAATTAGTTAATACAAATTGTACTTTACCAACGAATTATAATCCGGATGACAGGCAATGCACGCTTTTGGGAAAGAATTCTCCCCACCCCCCAAATTTCACGCGCTGACGAAGACGACAGTTGCGCATGCTTTTCGATTCAATATGGCTGCTTTAGGCGCGAATAATCAAAATGAATACAAAGTTTCAAATAATCATTAAATTAATGAATATCGCGATATACCGATTTTATATAAAATTTGATATTCATATACTATTCATTTATTATAATGCCGTTTAATGACTAATGCCGACACTGACTAATTATGAAGTTAACTTACCTAACTTAGTTTATTTATTTAATGCTTATCATTATATTAAAAATAATAATAAAATAAGAGTAGGATTTTAAATAATATGCTAGAAAATAAAACAATATATATATATATATATATATATGTCATAATTGATTGGATAATTAAAACTGATTTTTCATTGGTTGTTTATACCACATAAACGCCATCATACACGCGCATGTCAAATGATTTTAATTCAGTGTAAATCTATCTCCGTTGTAAATATTATAGTTTATTTTAAGGTTACCCAATTAGTTATCAACAATTATGTAAAAAATATTAATCAGTTAACATAACATTTATTATATTATAAATATTTTTTCAAAGATACATTAGAATAACTTTGTTTTGATATTTCAAATATATACAATGGCAGACGAGGAGGTTAGTTTCAAATTTTAACGGTTTCTTTGCTTACGGTTATATCTGTATGCATTACTTATTATATTGATGATGTTATATTTGTTTATAATTGATTGTTTTTATCATTTGTAGATGTATTTTGCTAAATTTAAAAGTGACGAACGTAGTAGAAGATTAGAACGTTCTATGAAACTTTCTATGTTGAAGAGAAGTGTAGATTCAATTCATTCTGAACAATTCAATAATAATACGAATTCACAGAATTGGAGTTTTTCTATGTTTTCAAAACTTTTAAGAATAGAAGATAAATGTACGCCTTTTAACAACAATCAACAAAAAATAATAACAGAAAACAACAAACAAAGTATAATAACACCAGAAAACAACAAACAAAGTATAATAACACCAGAAAACAACAAACAAATAATAACGGAAAAAAAGAGAAAATATAAATCTTATGTATCAAAAACTGTCTCTTCGAATGATAAAAAATCTCCAGAACAACATGATAGCTTCAATAACAATACAAACAAAGTAACGACAACGAAAATGAACAAATATATTTCTTATGAACCGATAAGTGCAGTTCCAAGTATTAAAGAATCTCCACAACGAAACAATTGCTTCGATAAGAATGATGCTACACCGTTAAATGCTACTTATAAATATCTTGGCCAATCTGAAAGAAATTCTATAAATAATCCAGCAGAAAAATCATTTATACGTTTTTATAATTGGAAAATTCAATTAAACCAAGATTGTAAACTGGTTATCAAAGGACAATTAGAAAGGTAAATTTGTAACACTAAATTTATATATAATAATGTTCATTACTATAATTTTATATTCATTTCTTTAGCGGAGAAATTACGTGCAGTAAACCTATACTTAAGAGATTAACAGCTAGAAGTATACAGTCTATTTGTTTAATCGTATATCATCTTGAAGGAAATATTGTGGATAACGAAAATGGTAAGAATTCAAATTTCTACATAAGACTCTTAATCGTTTTATAATATTATTAAAAATGACTACTGTTCTTAAATTTTCGTTTAGAATTACCAAAATATGTGAGATGCAAATTTTACAATGGCTTCCCAGACGATTGGAAAAATGTACATTCATTATGGCAATTATTTATACTTAATAACCATCAATCTAGTTTTTGTTGGCCAACAGATAGCGATGATGATTTAAATAGTAAAGTGATGATATGCGAAGAGAAAAAAAACGAAGACAAATCTCCTAAATCTTCTAATAAAATGTGTATTTCTGAAACGGATCATAGTAAAAAAATCAAAATTGATAATACATTTACTCTTGAAACATCTGTGCCAAGTTTAACAAATATACAATTACCTAAATTGACAACAAAAGTTCACAATGGTAACATTTCTAATAAGGAAAATCGACAGGAGGAACATAATAGTGTTGCAAATATTACTCAGTGTTTAAATATTCGAAATCAGCTTGCATTAACAGACATTATAAAGGAAGATAAAGTCAATATCATTGCCAATAATTTAATTCATAAAAATTGTCCTAAAGAATACATTGTAAAAATTATACAAATGTTTAATTGTCTTGAAGATGTGTTCACTTATAAAATAGAATCAAACGATGTAAGTAAAGAACCAACGACTGATGACGATTCTGCATTTTATAGCAATTATTTACATAGTAAAATAATATTAAGGAGGCCTTATGTATCAGAATATCAAGAGATATCTCCAATTAAAAAAAGTGTTGATCACGATAATAATAAAATAATAAATGGTATAATGAATCCGATCCCAAATAAAATTTTACAAGAACAATCACGAAACAGTTTTCAACGAACGAATATAAAAGAAGATAAAGAAGACTTTGAAAGTGAAGTTTATGGTACACCTAAAATTGTATTTGAAAAAGTATTAAAAAACAAAAAAGCATCATTAGAACGGGATAAAGAAAAGAAAATACAATTAATAATGCATTCCACTCCTAAGGATTATATCAAATCATCAAAAAACATGAAAATAAATGATAGATCAGCACGTCATTCTAATTTCAATGATATTCATATTGAAGATGATACTAAATTCTCTGTGCTTGATGACAGAATAAAAAAGATCAATAGAGCAATTAAATGTAATGCATTAGAACAACAGAAAAATATTAAACAATCAAAGGCAATATCTGGTAGTCAAGAATTAGTAACGTACGAAAAGAATCATGGTAAAGTTTATGATGATCGGGATATCAACATTATTGAAGATGAAACATCACAAGTAGATAATATGAATCGTATTAGAACACATCATAAAAGAAAAAAGAGTAATATTGATGATAAATATGATAAGAACATTTCCAATACAAATGTCCAATACAAAATTACAAAACACAGTACCAAAAAGCAAAGAATAATAAATACTTTTAATGGTAGGGATCGTTATTCGTGTATTTGATAGCATTAAAAAAAAAGAATTAAAAAAGAATTAAAAATGAATCAAAAAATAATATTTGTTTATACATTTTATCAATATTTCTACAAATTTTGTACAAAAGTTAAAAATAAATAATTCAGGAATCCATATAAATTATTTGAATGACCATGTATTATTTTTAAATGATTATTTTATTGTAAAAATCATGAATATTTTGTAAATATAGTTGTATTTTTTAAATAAAACTTTGACAAATTATTAGTTCCATATCTCGACACGGTAGTCGTGTCGCCATATTCATTACTACACGTATATCTAATTAATATAACCAATGTAAGTTTCGATATTTCATTTTGCTTTGATATATATATATATATAGTCATCATACATCTGCAGTAGTATATACCTGTATATGTAAATATATATCACTTTTGTATATTAAGGTAAATTTATGTGTGTATATATGTGTTTGATATAAATTAATGCTTGATTCACAAGCAAGGAAAGTCGTCTATAAGATTTTGCTTATAAGAGGTGAAAGCAAAGTTGAGATTGTGTGATGTTGAATGCAGGCATATGTGAAATTCGTATAATAACGCACAACGTTGATATAGGTCTAGGCTTTGCTAATGTTGGAATGATATGTATTAAAGATAAAAAATAACGAAACAAAAACAAAATATTTAAAAAGTTCAATATAAAAATGGGTAATCACGCGTCACGTAATATAACCAATTCTCATAAAAAGACTGATGCAGTTACAAATAATGGCAATACGCAAAATACAAATGCGGTTTCACGAAGTTCCTCTGGTAATGACATCGAACATAATTCTACACCATTTTTACCAATTGATAATCTAGCTAAGGTAATTAATTAAATATTTACAAAATTTCTTTCTTCTTCTCTATATAGTAAAACATTTGTATTTAGAATTTTTTGTATAACCAAGAATTAGAGCTATAAAAAATTATATATATATTTTTATTTTTATTTTAATCCTTTAAGGTATTTATTATCAATTTCTATATTTAATAATTGATATTAATCTATGTAATTCGTTATATATTTTGTGTTTATTTATCATGTGTAAAGTTTATGAATTGTTAATTGAAACATAACCTCCAAATTTTTTCTAGATTTTATCGCATCTTACATATGAAGAAGAACATGTACATGGAGTTACGATGAGTATATTTGAAAAGTACTTATTTCCTAATTATCCTACATTAGCTAAAAATTTATTTACTTATTTGCATCACTCTGCTGAAGCAACTACGCCACATTTGACAGTTTCTATTTTCAAACAACAAGCAGAAAAGTTTTTATCTGTTATGAGCGATCAAACTATATTAGAAAATTATATAATCATTTATTCTAATATAAAAAGTAAAGATATATGTCCCGATCTACTTAGATCTTTACTTATGAATTGTTATCAACTGGCAATGGATAGTAATGGAACTGCAACGTGTATTTATATACATCGTGTTGTCAATGCTGTTGTTGTTTCATGTGTTAGTAAGAAGTACTACTTATTATTTTATTTCATTATCTAAATTAAGATATATATGAATGATTTTGATTATTTCAGTTTCACGGTAAGGAAAGTTTGTCTGTGAGTTATGTTAATAATTGGATGTGGCATCATTGTCCACGTGTTGTACATGGACTACATTGTTATGTAGTTCATGTGTTGACGACAGCTTATAGAAATGGTAAAGCACTGTTATCAAAAGAACAACCGCAACCACATTTAGAAATTCCAACACCTGTATTGGAATGTGCTGACTGGTTTGATCAACCTCAATCATTATTACCTGTGAGCTATGTTTGGTTATTATCAACTACTTTACCACAATGTTATCTTCAGGTAATTCAAATTTATTGTGATTTACTAATTTTATCTATATATTTCTATATGTAATGTGTGTGTACGTATATGTATAATATGTGCATATATATTCGTAATAGGAATGATTTATATTTAGAGAAACAAATATGGCACATATATTACTTCTAAATTAAGTGTTTCTTTAGCAATAAATACAAATTCTATTGGCGTTTCATCGTAGCCTTGTTATTTAGGCAAATAATACACCCAAGGATATTACACACGCCATTATAGCCAAAACTACCGGCAATACATGTCCTAAACACTGGACTTTATTATATAATAGTTCAGAGCATGGAGCAGGCGCTAATCGCTTTCTTCATCATGTACTAGGCTACAGAGGTCCAACATTGTTACTTGTAAAAGCTGCTGATCCAAAAAAGGATGGTGAATATTTCATGTACTGCATATGCTCAGCAGTTGAATGGCGTGAAAGTCATCTTTATTGGGGTGATGAAGATTCAATGGGACTTCAGTTTAGTCCAACTTATAGAGTAATAGAAAAAGGACCTAAAGTATTATACCTAAATACGGGAATTAGAGGTTATCCTCATGGCTTACGATTTGGAAGTAATCCACGTACACCACATATAAGTATTGATGAATCATTCCATTCAGTCAGTATCGCAGGTGCACCATATCCCATTGCTACTTTAGAAGTTTGGGGATGTGGAGATGAGAAGTTAAGGTAATAATATTATATTTCATTATTTTATATATAATTAGAATGTAATGTATTAAATAGAATACATTTTTTTAGAGAACGCCAATTGGATATTAAAAAGTGGCAAGTAAAAGAAGCAGAAAGACAAAGAATTGTTAAGTTAAGTGCAAGCGATTGGTTAGATCATCCTGACCGTTATCTTCTAGAACTAGCAGGAAGAGCATCTTACAACGAATCTAATAAGTAATAAGGATTACAAAACTGTATTATGAAACTTACAAATTTATGCAGGATTAGGGAATGAATATTTTTGTATATATGTATATACTACTGAAGTTTTTCTTCAGAAGAAAAGTGTACTTATTTCTTATGCCTATATGTGTATACATATATGCATATATAAGATTGCAGGTAGAATGTCCATTTACAATTTTATTTTTGCAATGTATGTACTTACGCACTTAAGCACAATGCCAAACTAGATTGTAGACAATCAGTATATGCCGTTTTATTTTAATGATTTTTAAAAAGAATTAGGAAATAATGTGACTTTTTATAAGTTTATGCATACTTAAAAGAAACTCCAATGTTATATGATATATACCTTTATGTACTTATGGTTTTTACAAAATTTGATCATATTGATTATGACGTGTTAAAATGTACGAACATTTTCTCATTTAATATGCTTAATAATGTGAGAAATTTTCTTTTATTTTAAATAAACATCTAAGTAAAGAGTTTCTTTTTTAAGAAATGTCCTTATTTCTATAAGTACGTGACGAAATTATATTGTAAAAAATACTTTTTACTTAATATTGATATTTATATTATTATATTCTTATAAAAAAAAAAAAAAAAAAAATACTTTATGTATAATTTATTTGGATAAAGGTGAATTTTATTAATAATAGATACACAGGATTGGAAGAGAAAAACAGAGGAAAAATAAAAAATCAAACTTTTTCTTATTTTGAACTAGTTAATATGTGCCGCCATATTATCAAATAATATATTGTAGTATATTCATATGCGGTTGCTTTGAAAGTTCCGTGTTCTGTCAAATAAAGTTTGTCATAATAATATTGTTATTTATTGCAAGTGTTTGACTTGATAAATCATTATAGTATAGCGTGAATTCTATTATTTTCTTCATTATAATATCGTAGACATTTTTTACGTATATCATGGCGATCTATTTCATTATTATCTCAGCGTTCATTTAGAAGGTTAACTTTCTTCTCGAAAAAGAAAGAAAGAAAGATATAATAACGATATTATAATTGAAGTAGTGATGAAATAAATGAGTAATGATAAAAACTCATTAAGTGAAATATTAAAGAGGTTCAATGCACTTTCTTATTCATTAGTTCATTAGTAATGAATAGATTCAATACACATAACCAAACATAATATTTCATGATATGTAGATAGATAAACATTTTTTACTTGAATATTTGTCTAATTATAAGTAGCAAAATGTTGACAGAACAAATTGTAATTTCTGAATCATCGATTGGTGAAGCATTACCATTAGGATTTATAACCGCTGAAGATGGTCGAACTCTTTTAGCAGTAGCAGGTAGAAATTATATATTTATATTAATAAGAGATCCTATTATTATCTCTTATTGATTGATTACATTTAAATAATCATTTAAAATATATATATATATATATATATATATATGTTGTTTTTTAATAGATGTTTAATAAAAATTTAATTATTACAGAACACGAAGATGGTGTTTTAGCAATTATGTCAACACCTGTAGTATTTATGCAACAGAATAATATTATTTCACCGTCATTAGTTAAAACTATAGATGGAAATATGATTATGCATCCTGTATGTTAATCTAATATTTTATTATTACTTTCTGTATAATTGTAAATATGATTGTAATATAAATATTTGTATATTTTGTTGTAGCCTGTTTTTCAAATAAGTATAGAAGGTCTTACTGGGATTCAACAAGGTGCTATATTACCAATACAAACATTAGAAACAGTTCCTGCTGTTATGGAAGATGCATCAAATTGTGTAGAATCTACAGTTCCTTCGTTAATAGATTTAACAATAAATAATAACGAACAAAACTTTTCTTCCGAGTTAAATACAAGTCAATCAACCGTTCAAAAAAATAATACTAAGCGTAGCCCTGGTAGGCCAAGAAAAAATGAAATCATTTCATCTTGTGTATGTTATATTAAATTTGTTATATATTGATATAATATAAAAATTACAACTTAATTGAAATGATAAATGTTTGTGTAAATAGAATGCGGATGATATGAAATGCAATATATGTGGACAAGAATTTGATAAACAATCTTTATATCGAAAACATATGGATCAACATGCAGAAGAAAAACCACATCGTTGTCCAAAGTGTTCTGCATCCTTTAATATTCCGGTAATTTATTAATAGATAACACATTTTGATTTTCATTTCATACATAAATTTTTATTAGATCTAATTAGCTACAGTCTAGTAATTTTGTATAATAACCATTGTAGACAAATTTCACGCTTCATATGGCAACGCATAATACTGGAGAACCAAAATGTCCCGAATGTGGTAGAAAATTTGCTAGAATAGCTAGTTTAAAATCTCACATGTCGTTGCATGCGAAAGAAGAAAATCTTTTTTGTACAGAATGTGAAGATGCCTTTCCAACGAAAGTAAGTATTTAGTTATTACTTATTTATAAGGAAAAAAAAAAAAAAAGCAAAAGAGAGAGAGAGAGAAGAAAAAAACTGTATATATTTAGTATTTAAAAATATTCAAATCGTGAGAGATCGTACTATAATTTTATAGTAAATATATTTTTCTGTGTTTTCCTGGAACACGATAAACATGAGTGCGTCACAAACAAAATCTTTCGACATATCAAGGCGTCAGTAAAATTACTTTTATTCAGTTTAGGTAAGGTCAACCCCTTGACCCTTGTGTTCTTATCTCTTCATTCAACTAATGTTAAGATTAAATTGTTAGCTGAAGGAAATATAAAGAAATAGTATCAAAAGTAAACTCGTATAATAAAAATAAAAAAAAAATAAAAAAAGGTAATGATTTGATCTAGAAAAAAAAAGAATCATAATACTTTCTTAAATGAAAGATGAAAAGAAATGTAAAATGTTAAATGAATAATTACAAAAAAAAAAAAAAAACATCATTTCACGTTAAATCATCTTTATAATATATGAATTGCACTTAACGATCGACGTTCTATTCGTTATTAAGATCGATAAATGAATGTCGTCAATTGCCATTGATTCAAGGATGAACTTGTATGTGCATTTGCCGCGTCTTTATAGTACATGCGACCGTGATAGGGATATGGACCGTAAAAGTATTGCAAGTGGGCGGCGGGTGGTATATAACGGTGGACACACATGTGTTATGCAACTGAATCGTATGATCTCATAGATCCCTCTCTTTCTCTTTTGTGACTCTTGCATGTATAAATTCTAAAGTGTTAGAGTAATATTAGCTTACACTTATGCATGCATATGAGACGAGCATCTGCATACTTAACGTTTTTCGAAGGGAACTAACTTATATGACACTTTTCTTATCTCACCATACAACAGTTCAGTAAAAGATTAATAAAGACACCAAGATCCAAGAGTGAAGAGGAAGATATGCTTGACATTATAAAAAATAAGATACACATAAAAATGAAACTTTGTATTTTCTTCATTTCTATCGCGTGTGTTTTGATAAAAATAGAAGAAGAAGAAGAAGAAGAAAAAAAAACCATAGAAAGAAAGAAAGATAAAGAAACATAGAAGTTATTGACTCTTTCTTATTTTAAATCCAACGATTATTACCGGTTGAATAAATAAATAGAACTTATTTATTTATCGGTTTATTTTACGGTTGATCGATCGATCGATTGATTCAATACACAAATATTCCGGTGTATCATAGAGTGTATTGAAGCATAAGCTTAATAATCTTGTCAAATCGATTTATCATCATCTGCCTTGTTAAAGGATAGAATAGTATAGTTACATATTATTTTTAGATAATATTGATATAGTAATATAATATCAAATTAAGTTAAAAGAATGATATAATTTATGGAGATTGTATTAACGTACCATATTAACAAAAGTAGAATACTTTGATGTATCTATTAGTGCAAAAGGAGGGGAAAGAGAAAAAAAATTAATTGGAATTGTGGAAGAGAACGAGACTGTGGCAAACGATGATGACGATGAAGCGATAGTTGTATTCTGGTAGTCAGTCAGTCAGTCAGTCAGTCAGTCAGTCAGTTAGTCAGTCAGTCAGTCAGTCAGTCAGTAAGAATCTGGATCTCGTGGGACGCGCACGTGTTTTCAAACCGATCAACATTTCAATAAATTTTTGTATTTTTTTTTTTTTTTTGTAATATAATATAATTTTATTTACTCATCAAACTTTCGTTCATAATTTCTTTCACTTTCGATAATAATCAGATTGATTTATATTGATTAATCTAATTAATTAATGAATCAAGGTCTTTTTGTAATTTTTTTTTTTTTTTTAACTTTGTCATTCGCGAATAATTTCGTAATTAACAAGGATATCTCGCGTTACCAATGCTAAACCATGTAGTGTAATTAAAGTGGTGCGTCGTGTTTCATGGACATGTTTAAAAAAAAAMAAGAGACCTTAACACTATGTTGTGTTTTGTATGTGTTAATAATCCATATATAATATAAGTTAACCGTAAGATCATTTTCATTTCTAATTTAGTCGAGTGATCCTCTTGAAAACTCTTCAAAGTTTTAGTAAACACTAGAAATATGAAGAAACATAATCTTTTTTTTTTTTTTTATAGAAGTGTATATACAAAAGAGATTTTTTTTTATTTTTTTTTTTTATTTAAACTAATTTCATATATCATCATCTCTCTTTCTCTTTCTCTCTTTTGTCAAATTTTGTTATAACATAACGTTTCACGACTTTAGGTCATTCTCACGAGGATCGTTCTCCTTTTATATTTTTTTTTTTATTTTATTTTTTTTTATTTTTTATATTCATGACTATCGCTTCTCGGAAGAGAAGAAGAACCAGGGGTCGTTGGTACCAAGAAGAAAAATGTGTGCGTGTGAAATGTGCTTACGAATAAATATACACCAAGAGGGAGAGAGAGAGAGAGAGAGAGAGATGCGATAAAAGTTCTCGTGCACGCGCGCGCACGTGGTGGATGCTAAGAAGAGAAAAAGAGAAAGATAGATAGATAGATAGAGAGAGAGAGAAAGAGAAAGAAAGAAAGAGAGAGAAGAGTGGAAGATCCAGTCGACTAATTTTTTTTTTTCTCGATGTTGACCATTTTTTTTTTTTTTCACTTTCTCTCTCTTTCTTTCTCTTTTATATTTTTTTTTTAGTCTCTTCTTTCACCTTATCGTAATGGTGGTGTTTTCTTTTTATCATTATTATTATTATTATTATTATTATTATTATTAATGTTTTTTTCTTTTATTTAATAAGAAAAATAGGACACTCGCGTCGTTGAGATTTATTGATGAGGAAATTGAAAGAAAAAAAAAAAATGCATAAGAATTTATTTTTATATTATTATTATATTATATTATATATTTAAAATGGTCCCCTGTAATCGTCAAAATTGCTCGTAAATGTTCCCTTTTGTTTTTTGTTTTCTTTTTCATCTCTCGTTTCTCCTTTTTTTTTTCTTCTACTTCATTTTTTTGTTGTTGTTAAATTTTATTTATTAATTCGTGCCCATTTAGATATACCGATTTGATAATGAAAGGTTAAAAACCAAGAACTGGTTTTGATCCTCTTCTCTTCAATCCTTGCAAATAAAAAAAGAGAGAGAGAGAGAGAGAGAAAGAGAGAGATAGAAAAAAAAATGAAGAAGAAAGATCGACAAAAGAGGAAGAAGGAAAAAAGATATTCCTTCTCGCGCCAAATATTCGCTGACGTAATATAAACGAAAAAGTCCCTCCTCCTCCTCCTCCTCCTCCTCCTCTTGAAGAAAGTCCACCGACCCTGTAAAGGACTTTTTTACTTTGTTTTATTTTCAAAGTCCACTTTTGGGTTCCTTAACTCTTCTTCTTCTTCTTCTTCTTGTGTTCCCCTTCCCACCCCTCGTCATCATCCCTTTTTTTTTTCTTTCGAATAACCGAGTATTCCATCGGGTGTATATTGCGGATAGATAAGGAAAACCACATTCGAAGAATTTATTTATTTTATAATAAAATGATGACGTAAATCATTCGGTTGGTAAGTTAAATCATACACTTATTGCATCGTGTTCTATGACTGCGATGATGTCAACCATATGATATGATCGTAAAGACAAGCACTAGTTAACGAAGTTTCTCTTCTTTTATTTACATCTATATATATGTATATATGATTGTTTAGGTATAGTGATACATAACCTAACGGAAAATGATTTTGAATGAAAACAAATTAATTAAAAATGTAGAATATTATTTTTAAATATGAAGTTCTAGTTCTAGAGGGGGGGAAAAAACATTATTTGTATATTAATATATACTTATACATATATACATAAAATATACATTAATATAACATTAATTTGTATATTAATGATTTTATAAATAACAATGTAATTATGTATTAAATTATAAAAGTTGATTTGATTAATATTATAAAAGTTGATTTGATTAATATTCAAATTATGTTGAAAATTTCTACCATGATAGATCTGCCTATACAATTGTACTTTTTTAACTAAATTATTATTTATATTTTATTAATACATTTTATGTGTGTGTGTGATAATTATTTACTTTCTCAAATACCATAATAATATTTCTTTTTAATTAACTTTTGCTTTAATTAAAAAGACCTCCACACAGAAAGAAATATTTCAAATTTAACAATAATCAAAGTTGTTTTTATTCCAAGAGAGCTTTTTATAGGGAAAAACAGAAAAAAAAAACTATAATTTAGATTATTTCATTAACAAGAAAAATCACTTTCCGTTTGTGTTGGAACACTATTTCTTTGTATTTGTAACTGTATTCCATTTGTAACTAGGTAAAACAAAGGATCGTATAACTTACGTTATCGTTATTTTATAGATTGACGATCTCAAGTTACCTTTATCATGGTAACTCAATGTACATAGGTAATAGGTAATAGCCAATAGAGAAGTGTATAGGTAATTTAAATAATCTAGAGAGGGGAGTGGTGGAGAGAAGAGGGGGAAGGGTTTCACGATGGCGCATGATTTGTATTATTGCTTCCGTGTAATATCTATTTCTCGATAGTATAATTAAACTATGGTTTATTCGATTAAATAAATTGTTCATTAATTAACAATGATTAATCGTAACAAATAATGTCGGTCACATTTTATTTTCATTTATTATTTTTTATTATATTTTTATTTTTTTAATCGAAATTACGACGCGGCTGTCGGATATGATAAATGAGCGAAAGTTTTGGTACTGTAAAAGTGTCTAAAAGAAATAAAAATATATATATATATATATAAAAGAAGAACAGGAGATTCGAATAAGCGCATTACAAGTCGAAGTGAAACCCTGAGGATACTTTGCGAGTGATTGCATTGTAACTTTAAATAATTTTATACTTCTTTTTACATACACACCCACACACACACCCGTATTTTTATTTTTATTATTTTAATTATTTTTATTACTGTTAACAAATAATTGTAGGTTTAGGTTCTGTAATTTTGTTTTTTTTAAAGTTTTTTATACAAATTCAGATAATTGAAGATCACTAATTAAATAAATTGTAAGTAAAAAAAAATTAAATTATAATAATTATTATTATTTTATTATTATAATTATTATTATCATTTAATTTATAATAATTAAAAAATTCATTTTTATAACCACGAATCGTGAAATAAATGAATTGTGTTCTTTGAAATTTGTCAAGTTAGATCATTTGTTTTTTTTTTTTTTTTATATTTTTTCTTTTTTATTATTAATCACCGGTTCAATTGTTATTAAATGAGATGATAGTTGTAAAATATAGTATTAAAAGAAAAAAAAAAAAAAAAAGAAAATCTCAGTTGACAAGAATGAGAGAAAAAGATTCAGCATTATTCGCGGTAAACGTTTGCATAGGCGAAACTAGGCAGTTTGACACTTGACACGACAATTATCCATGACTATAATTTGCGTCCACTTTGTCCTCGTTTTGGCTACCGGAATCAAGAGAAGGCGATCTTGATTCCCTCATTTTATCGTAGTTCTTCCAGTTAAATAAACGTATTACTGTGTTACGTACATTTTCCTTACGAACAAAGATGGCGACTTTTTTTGTCGGCTATGTGCGTCAGAGTCAAATCAAACACTTTTTTTTTGTTTTAATTCTTCTAATCGTGATGGATTACAAAATTGTGATCAGCAATTTATTTAAATTATTAATAAAAAAAAAAAAAGGAAATAAAAAACAATAATAGTCTTTATATATTTAATTATTTAAATAAATCTACGATAAAATCATTTGGTTTAAAATTAGCGCGAAATTTGTTGGCCGTTGTTTTTGAATTGATAATTATTTTGTTTTTTTTTTTTTAACAATGTTACTAGATTAAATTAAATTATAAATAAATAAATAAATATATAATAATTAAATTAAAATTAATAAATAAAATAAATAATAATTTTCTATATTAAATTGTTTAATTTAAAACAAATTTACGAAATTCCTTTGAAATTATTTTCATAAAAAAAAATGGTCGCGTCACGTGGTCACGAATTCGCCATCATTCGCGTTGTGTTATTTCAATTAAAAATTTCATCTCGCTTATACTTCAAAGGCATTATAATAAAAAGATTTAAAAATGATGCTGATGATGATGATGATGCTTTATCAGTCTTGTCTTCTTAAAAAAAAAAAGAAAAAAAGGGGTGGGCGATCTATCGGATACTAACTTCCTCGCTAACACGTACATGAATGCGATAAAGATACGCTTTTATCTTTTTATTTCATGATGAATTAGTCGACGAGAAAAAGTTCTATTTTATTTGTCTCTGTATTTCGTTCTTTAATTCGTTTCAGTATATTGGAATAATAAAAAAAAAAAAAAAAATTAGACAAAGGTGCTTTTATTTTATCATATTGACAAAATATTCATTCTTTCAAAATTCAAAAAATATCTCATTGATTATTATTATTATTATCATTAAAATTATTATTTCAAATTTTAATATAATTTCAAATGAAAGGATTATATCTACTCAGTGAGTTGTATCTTTGTTTTTGGAATTAGTGTGTATTTTTAATTTTACAAATTCATCTATTAAAATCCCCAAAGATCTAAGGAAAGGAAAAAGAAATAAAAAAAGTAAAAGTATAAGTAAAAGTGGAAGAAAAAGAAGGAGAAAGGTAGAAGGAAAAATCAAAGTTAGAAAGATTTTTCTTTCGTTTTTGTTAAAACCTAGCTGTTATACAGATTCAAATTTAGAAGTTCGTATAGGGAGAAACGAGACGAGTATATCGATTACGACGAACATAAACCAAATTTCGTAAACTTAACTTCCGTCTTTCTGTTTTCTGAGATGACGGTGCTATGTTAGAACAGTTTCAGCAACCACGAACGATACTTGCCACACATGTTTCGTTTTTTACTTCTTTTCTTTTCTTATATTTTTTTTTTTTAATCATACTTTTGCATACAATTATTTTATAAAAAGAATTCATGATATTGAATGATATTTATTTGATTAAATTGAAGTGTTTGTTAAAATGTTGTTGTTTGATAAAATAAGGAGATAGAGGAAGGATAAAAAAGAAACCAAAAAAAAAGAATACAAGAAGAAGAAGAGGAAGAAGAAGAAGAAGAAGAAAGATTACCGTGTTTCGCACATCGAAACGAACCCACGAATGGGCTACAACTTGCAAGAAGTGCAACGTCCTCTTTTAAGGATGCATCAACAGCAACATCAGAAGAAGCAGAAGAAGAAGAAGCAGCAGCTGCAGCAGCAGCAGRATGTGCAAAGTGAAAACTCTATAAGAAGAATTAAAAGAAATAGAAAGAAAGATTTAATTATTCTTCAAGAATTAAAATCATAATTGAACAGAAAGAGAGAAGGAAAGAGTGAACTTCAAAGTTAAAACGCGGAGGCGGTTGATAATAATTCTTGATGTTGTTCATCGTTTTTTTATACCGCAAAAGAGCCACTCCTAGATCATCGATCCTCGATCTCTGATCTTTGAAGAAGACTATTTTCTATTTTAATACGTTTTGTGTTCATCAAAGGTGTTCATTTATCATTTTGTTACCATTATTATATTTTAAAAGAAAAATTAATTAGAAACAAAATTGAGATAATAAGATAAACTTTGAACAAATGAATGAATGAATGGAAAACAAAAAAATGCAATGATTAATAATTGCATATTTTCTTTTTTTTTTTTTTATAATTATTGATTGTGTTCATAATAGTTAATGCAATTATTTATATTATTTAAACGTATTGCATGCATACAATAATATTATTACTGCCACACAAGTGATTATTATTATGTCCTACGAAAATTGGGGATTATAAGTTTTTTTTATAATAATTGTGAATATCATTTATTCCAATTTATTATACTATCTCGTTTTTTTTTATATACATATATATCTGTATATATATATATATACACACACACACATATATATATATATATTTGGAGAAGTATATCTTCTTCATAATGTCGTTCGCCGTGGACTGCATCAATTTTGCTCTCCTACTGATCTGCACTCGTGTCTTTCATCTCGCTCTTGGAATTGGTGCACAGTATTATAAGGTACATCGTATTTTGTTTATAGATATATATTGGATATTTTATATTAAATAATATTTATATATATATATCAATCCACAAGAAAAGGTTTTCATTATTTAATGAATAATTTATATGATAATGTACATTAATCTCTTGTTTCAAATTGTTTAATAACAACAAAATCTCATTGATTTTTTTTTATTATTTCTCTCGTTTTTTTTTTTATTGATATTTAATTTTCTGCTTTTTTTTTTTTTTAAGGCTCAATTGGATGCACATTTGAAATTACATGGAGAAAAATCATTGACGGAGGAAGTAAGAAAGTGTAAGATTTGTAATAAACAATTTGTACAATCAGCTTTGTATAGACTTCATATTCGTGAACATTATAAGGTAAATTTATTTTTAATTTATGTAAGATAATGATTTATATATATATATATAAAATATGTATAAACTTAAAGTGTTGTTTACATATATACCCAAAACAAATGTAATGTATATTTTAAAAATAGAAATAATGTAATCTTATTTTGTATGTTTTTTGCGTACAGCTGCGTACGAAGATCGTTAAACAGACGAAAAAGGGAACGAAACATAAGATTATGTATAAATGTACGATATGCATGAAATCATTTCAAAAACCTAGTCAACTAATGCGTCATATTAGAGTTCATACAGGAGAGAAACCTTTTAAAGTAAGCATATTATTTATTCTGTATTCGAACAATTTTTGTTTTCTTCTTCTTCTTCTTCTTCTTATTATTATTATTATTAACCAAACGTTGCAAAATATATTTATTAACATTTTGCTTTTTTTTTTGTTGTTCTTTCTTTTTATATATTTACAGTGTAACATCTGTAGTAGAGCATTTACTCAAAAAGGTTCTTTACAAATTCATATGTCACAACATGATGGTATAAGACCACATACATGTACTCTTTGCAATGCAAGATTTAGTCAAAAAGGTAGATTATAATTTAACGTTTTAATGTATGTATGAATTTAATTTAATCAGTTAAGTGTGGCGATCTGTGGCGCAGAGTGCGCTCTCTGGTGTGTGTCGCGATAATCAAACGATGACGGATATAGTCGTCAAACACCACAGAGTAAGTGGCGCTGTTCAAATATTGGATAGTCAAAATGATAATTTTATTTTAGAAAATGAACAATTTTTTGTTAGTAATGTATACACACAGTTTATTAATATTAACATATATTTATACATAATAAACGAAAAAAATTAGAGAAAAAAAATCGAATATTTATAAAAGTTACAAATTTATTCTTGACATTGTTATTTTTTCTTAACCTATAAACATTTTAAAACATATTAAAATTTACGAATATAAATTTAGTTTTCGCCAAAATTACAATTTAAACATCAAATTGTAACAAACTCTTACGCATGACGGATATAGTCGTCAAACACGCTTAACTGGTTAACAAATAATTTCAAATATTAAATAATATATATATATGTATATTTTTTCTTATAACGTGCTGTTTTAATAATTTTCTTTTTGTTTTTTGATTAATCAATTATTACGTATATTTATTTTTTAAAATTAAATATTTTCAGGAAACCTAAATGCCCATATTTTAAGGGTACACAGTGCTCCTGAAGGAGAATCTATATATGGATGTACTTATTGTCCTTGTATTTTTAAAAAACTTGGCAGTCTTAATGGTCATATGAAAAGAATGCATTCGAATATGACAGAAGTAGTTAATACATTATAATAATTTATATTTATTTATATAATTCATATTATTTAAAGTAAATGAAAAGAAAGAAAATGTTGAATATATTTTCTTTAGGAAACAACATCAAAATGCGAAAGTTCTACGGAGGCTGATATGCGAGCTACAGTTGATAGTGTCATATCACAACTAGCATCCTTGGAATCTGGCATTACTAATGTAGAAAATTCTACTCAATCTGTAGCTACGAATGAAAATAGAAGTGATATTTTACAGGAAGCATTAAATATTAGTGGATTGCCTAGTAAAGAAAAAAGTCCTACTAATGGTATTACATAATGTATAATTTTGTCAATGTGTACAAATTGTAATAATATATTTCAATTTTCTTTTTTTTTTTCTTTTTTATTAAATGTTTATATATGTATATATATATATATATGTATATTTCGTTTATTAATCATTTTAGAAACAATAGATTCAAAAAAAGCTGAAGCCAAAACAACATTCGTTACTTTATTGGATAGAGCACCAGATGGCACAATGAGGTATAATTTTTTGTAACATTTTTATGTATTCTTTATAATTATATATAAGTATTTTCTGAAACAACAATTTTATATATATATATATATATAAAATTGTTGTTTCAGAAAATATTTAACTATAAGACAACGATGTATAGGAAATATACGATGGTATGCATGCTCTTTCTGTCACAAAGAATTTAAAAAACCATCAGATTTAATACGTCATTTAAGAGTACATACTCAAGAAAAACCATTTAAGGTAAGTTTTAATATGTTCAAATTTTACACGTTGGTATACAAATTAATATTATTAATATTTTAATATTTTCATTTATTTGTAGTGTTCATATTGTGTTCGTTCATTTGCATTAAAATCAACGATGATTGCACACGAACGTACTCATACTGGTACCAAGAAGTATGCTTGTGGTTTGTGTGATAAAACTTTTGCATGTCATAGTAGTCTTACTACTCATACAAGGTATTTTAATACACTAGTTTATATTAATGTATATATATATGTATAATTATTAACATAAATTATTATTAAAAACGAAGTATGTTTTATTTATATATTACAGATTACATACAAAACCTCATCAATGCACTGTATGTGATAAATCGTTTAGTTCTAGTGCTGTTTTAAAAAGTCACATGAAAAGTCATACTAAAGGAAAATCAAATCTTTCACCAGAAGCAGAAAGTTTAGTGCCACAAATAGTTTTACAAGAGCCATTAGTTATTAGCGATGCTGGAAATAAGATCAGCGTGGCGCATGTACAATCAAAACAAAAGCATGTTTATGACAGTGCAGATGTTGCAAGACCACACAAATGCTGTGTATGTCATGCAGCGTTTAGGAAAATTAGTCATTTAAAACAACATTATCGACGGCATACTGGAGAGCGTCCTTTTAAATGCACAAAGTGTGATAGAAGATTTACATCTAATAGCGTTCTTAAGTCACATTTGCATACACACGATGATACAAGGCCATACAGTTGTACTGTATGTAATACCAAGTTTTCTACCCAAAGCAGTATGAAGAGACATTTGGTCACTCATAGTAACAATAGACCATTTATGTGTCCTTATTGTCATAAAACCTTCAAAACTTCAGTTAATTGTAGAAAACATATGAAGATACATAAGAATGAACTTGCACAGAGACAATTAGAACAACAAAAGAAACAACAACAAATAAAGGATGTACCAAAGACATTAAATAAAGATAAGGGAACTATTTTACCAGAGAATATAGCACTTTCAGAAGAAATGGAAGTATCATTTCAACCACAAATGGCACCTGATTTTGCATTAGCTTTTTCCGATCAATTTCAAAATATAACCGATAAAGAAAAAACATTTTTAACTACAGACAGAACACAGCCAGTTATCAATCCAAGTTTATCTACAAATTTGTCTACAATAGAAACTAATAATTTAACAACATCGCAAACTTTAAATACCGATGAAACAGCCACTATTACAATTCCTAATTATACAGGGGATCAATCGCTAACACCTGAAAGTATACGCGAAATAGAAGAAACATTTAATCAACAATTATTTAATATTGGAATGAATCTTGGCTTAGGAAGCAATCTTTCAAGACCTGTAGATGATACAAACGCAAATACTCTTGAACAAAGAGAACAACCTGTTTTGAATATTATTTATGATAATAATAAAAACTTAGAGTCGTCCGTTAATACAATGTTCTCATCGCAATTTGATTCATTTGATATTAGCCAGATTACATTACAACCTGATTCTGAAATAGACATTGGACTCAATACAGACAATTCTGCAAATATAGCTAATATTTTAACTAGGTCTATACAAGATAGACAAGAAATAAGCACTATTGCTATTGAAAATAATACAAATGACAATCATATTAAAACACCTAAACAATTAATGATATTGGATTCCACCAAACAAACTGAATCTGATGCCTTAAAACTGCCAGAACAACAATCTTGTCCAAGATATCCGAAAGTTATAGCTAAAGCAGATACAACGGATACAACAACAGATATAAAAATTATAAATTTAACAAATAATACTGAAATACAGATGATTAATGATTGTAATGAAAAACATCAAGAAAATATCGTATGTCACGAACATGGAAATAATACTTTGCATATAAAGTAAGTTACACATTTAGATATTTAATATTATTTATATAATAATTATAATTATTATTTTTTTTTAAATAGATGTGACTTAAACAACGACAATTTTCAAGATACATTACAATTAAATGCTCATTCTAAGTTACATTCAAATATCATTTATACAGATATTAATGAATGCAACATTAAATGTGATTCTTTACTTCAATGTCATATATGCAGTGAACAAGGCTTTACTACAGAAGAATTAAAGGTAACAAATATCTAATATTATTTTAATTATGATCGATTAATATTAGTTTGATGTAAACAAAAATATTCTAATTTATATCATTAGGAACATTTACAAACTCATCGTGGAACAAAAGGCTTCCAATGTACAATATGTTCTCTTAAATTTTGTACTAGTGGTGGACTTAGCAGACATTTAAAATTACATAAAAGTAAAGAGTAAGTATTTGTTTAATATTACAAAATATTCATATAATAAATTGTATTTTTTACTAAAAATTTATCTCATTKTTTTGTTTTGTTTAAACAATATAGACAATGGAAGTGTACAATTTGTCAACGAGTTTTTGTTAGCAAGATCCAATTGAAATCTCATCATAAAATGCATTTTAATAAACTTAATTCTGATTCATTAGAAGTGACAGACAGTTCGCAAAAAGAAAATATTTCTATTGATACAAGTCTTTCTATCGATTCTACTTCAAATAATAAAATATCTTTTGGTAATAACAAAACTTCCATAGAGGAAAATATTTCTTTAGATGATAAAATGGGCACCGATTCATCAGTGTCAGAAAAAGTTCTTTTAGACATAGTAGCGGAAAAAAAGATCATGGATCAAATAGATGTAAGTATAATACTGTATAATATAAGATGTAAGTAAAAAATAAAATTTATTATATGCGTTGAATCGAAACTTAATTAAACAATTTGATGAATTTACGATTTAGGGTGGTGTAGAGAAAAAAGAAACAAAAGAATATATTAATAAATGTAAATACTGTCCTAAAACATTTCGCAAACCAAGTGATCTTATAAGACACATTCGGACACATACTGGAGAACGGCCATACAAATGCGAACATTGCAATAAGAGTTTTGCAGTTAAATGTACATTGGATTCTCATATGAAAGTTCATAGTGGCAAGAAGACATTTTGTTGTCATGTTTGTAATAGTCTATTTGCTACAAAGGGTAGTTTAAAGGTTCACATGCGATTACATACTGGTATGTAAAAATAATTAATTAATTGCATGTATATACATATATCTATTTTATCTTTACAATAATTTTGTTGTTGTTTAGGTTCTAAACCATTTAGATGTCAAATTTGTGACCTAAGATTTCGAACTTCTGGTCATAGAAAGGTACATTTATTAAAACACGTGAGACAACACAAAGGTACAACAAAACGAAAACCAAAGCACATGAAAGTTTCTGCCGTAACTGAAGCAAGTCTTGATTTAGAGAAATCGGTTAATGAAGGTGTAGTGCATTTAGTAACAACTGATAATGATGTATCTACATCGTCAAATGTTGATTATTCAAATTTAGATACAATTAGTATTGATACTAATAATTTGGTCAGTCAGATTAATTTGAATAACGAAACGATGATATTAAATAATAGTTCGATAGTATCGTTAAATGAGAATAATCAATTAGTAGCAAATTTGCATTTCTTATTAGCAAATGGATTTGTTACTATTCAAACGGATGAAACTTCATCACCACCACAACAACAACAACAACAACCACCACCACCATCTCTACCACCAGTAGAAGCAGCAGTACCACCACCATTAGTACCTATTTCGGATGCAAATGTTATTCAGAATGAGAATAAATTACCAGAATATGTTAATGCTACACCTATACAGGAATCTTATATTGATATAGAAGATACTAAACACGTTGTTATTAAAAATGAAACATCAACAACGGCAGTCCTTCCAACAAGTCATGTTTCAATAGAGCCAAATATAGATATCAATATGACACAGTTAGAATATACAGACATTAAACCAGTTAAAACAGAAGTTACATTGAAGAAGCAAACAAATAATAAGAGTAATTCATCAAAACAAAGAGCATGTGATATTTGTGGAAAAACATTTATGAAGCCATATCAAGTAGAAAGACATAAACGAATTCACACGGGTGAACGTCCATTTAAATGTGAATTATGTACCAAATCATTTGCCCAAAAGGCAACATTACAAATGCATCAAAAACACCATACAGGTGATCGGCCACACGCTTGTCCACGTTGTGATTTTACATTTTCTCAAAGGGGAAATTTACGAACACATTTAAAACGTGTTCATCAAGCGGATCTTATGAGTGCTAAAAAATTAAAATCAAGTCAACAAGTTGTAAGTGCTAAATTAATACAAAATAATTTAAGTGAAACAAAAATTCTAAGTTTAGATGATATTGCCTTTGTTCGGTTTGTAAAATAATCAATTTTTTTTTCTTTCTTTTTTTTTTTTTTAAGATAGACTAACATCTTCAAATGCTAAATACGCTTAAACTCCTCTAATCCTGTCTGAGATATCAGATAGACCTCTTTTTCACTGCTCTAATTATGAAAGATTAACAAAGGAAGAAAAAACAGAAATAATATTAGACTGATCTCTCTGTCTTTGCATTGAGAAATTTTGTAAAACTCGCTGTGATGTATATATTGTATACACTGATAACACTAAAATAGTAAACTTATATTCTACGGTTTATTAAAATCCTGAGAGTCAGTTATTATTTTTAAGTGTTCTATAATGCTAAACCTATCTGGTATTACTAAGATGACAAACATTTTCTTTGATAAGTTGTATTATCTTTATTTGATACGTAAAAATATAACTTGTACATAAATTACTACTGTTTGTAATAAAACATATTACAGAATTGAACTTAGCATTTATGTATGACAAAAATTTGGAAGTATAAATGATTTACTGAACAAATAAAAATTAATGTTTAAAATTACAGTTCATTTCAATGTTTGGACAACCATCAGGATGATTTTCATGAAACCAACAAGATTTTGTTTTTATTGAATTAATAGTATTATTAGTTTTTCGTTTTTTCTTAACATTCATAGAATTAATTCCAGGTATCTTTAATTGTACTTTTCCTTGAATAATAGAAAATATGTGGCCATTATTTTTGAATAATGTTTGAATACCACCACATTCATTTTTAAGCTGTTTCAACATTTCTAAGGGTATACATTTGATAATATCCTTTAAATCAATTTGACCACCTGCATTCCAAATTTGATTATTTTTTTCTGAAAGATTTATAGGACGATACGTGGATAATAATTCTGATGTAACTAATTTGATAATATCAGATATTAAAGTTTTATTCAATTGTGTGCAATTTCGTACTTTTTCAATAGGATTTCTTGGTTTAAAATTATCAGACCATGAATTAATTGACTTTTCATTATTATCATTTTTAATCAAATTATATTTTGCTAATGACGTAATAGTTATTAATTCTTGAATACGTTTTTCTTGTAAAAGAAAATCATCCTTTGAATAATTTCTTTTGAAACCAATTAAAGAAATTCTTTTTGTCGATGGTATTCTTAATTTATCCAATTTAGTATCAAAGCCACATATTTTGGACATATTTAAGATACATGAAATATATTCTGAATATTTACTAAGAAATGTATTTTGTCTTTGAAATTTACTACCATCAAATTCATAAGCACAACATGGTAATAAAAAGAATCGACAATTATATGAACTACGTGCAGCAATAACTGGAATCCATGGTGTAAGTTCATCAGAATGATTTCCAATAAGCCAATCAATATCAGGAAATAATGTAGTTGATGGAATAATAGTTTGAACCTATAGATATCAGTAAAATTATATAATAAACAAGTAATTCATCTATTTTTATGATAATAATGAAATTTTCTTTTTTATACGTACTTCTAAACGAGTACTTTTTGGAAAATGATCCCAGAGTTTTCTTGCTCGTAGATCAATTCCTAATCCTGGATAACCCTCGCTTGATAAAATATAAACAAGTAGACCATTGCCACAACCAAGATCAACAAATGATTGTAATTTCTTACTGCCATTTTCATTTCTTTCATTTTCCCATAATAATATTAAATAAGTTGCAATAGCGATATCTTCGTAAACAAATTTTGAAGGATCAGTACTTTCAGTCCATGCTTTGACCAAAGAAGTACCATATTTTAATTTCAATTCAGTATATAATTTAGCATATTTTTCAGAATGCACAAGAGACAAAGAATTGATAATAAGACGATTATTAATGGAACTATCTGGTTTCATCCATTTCATTAAACGTATAAACAATGTATTTTTAAGCCAATTAATACTTTTATGATAATCTATATTATCATCTATTTTTTGTACGTACATAGATATAATACCTTCTTTCTCATACACTATTTTGTAAATTACATTTGTACCTAATGAAACGTTATCTTTAGAAATACATTTTTGAACAAACAAAACATAATTTTCTATTGTATTAATAAATATAAATTCTAACGTTGTACCAAATTGTGAATTACGAGATAATAATTTATTTACATTTAAAAATATATTTTCATTGTTATTTTTAAGAAAATTTATGGAATTAACTATGTTACAATATTCATTTATTTTTAACGTTTCTATCCAAATATTATTATCATCACAAATATCATTTTCTATCGATAAAGATTGTATTTCTTTAATATAAGAATATAAGTTGTGATTATTTTTAAATTGTGCTGTAAGTATTTTTTGACAAATTAGAATTCTACGATTAATGGTATGCGGATTATTTATCAAGATTTCTATAGCTTTCCAAAAATTTAAAACACCATTATCACTACTTTCAGATACTACCAGTTCAAAATTCATTTTAAAAGAATATCTTATATATCTTTAATGTCTACTTTATTTTCCTATTTCCTTGTTGTACTGTGGATAATAAAAAAAAAAAACAAAAAACAAAAAGTAATATAAGTTACGTAAATATGTACTTATTTATATTAAAATTTATGTTAAATATACTATCTAAAAATACCTTTTGCAAAACCCATTTAGCATCAGAGAATGCTTTTTCCATAATCACTTTAATACGTTCAGGATCAGTTTCTTCCATGTGTTGTTTATAACTCTGTTGAATGATGCAACATTTGAAGAATATTATTAAAGATAAATATAAAATACATTTATTCAATAAATAATATCTAATGAAATAACGCGTTAATCAAACCGATAACGTTTAAAACAAGTTATGTTATGGTTATGTAAGGTTATGTTGACATAAAACACGTGGCTAACTTATTCTGTATTATTGACATTGCAATGAAATTCTTTAGAAATTTTTACTACTACATACACACAAAGACTTACTTGTCTAATAGAATGTTTATAAAATTCGTTAGCACCTTGTGGAAGTTTATTACATTCCCGTAACAGAAACTTGTATAATTGCTTTGACGAATGAATACCTGCATTTTTTAACACCGTACTAGCCATTATTGAAAGAGTTGCTAATTATATATATAATAATATAAAATATCTATTTTATGATTACACTATGTTACAACACCTTTGTGTAGTACTATTAATTGAATCTATTATCGAGATAGATTATCGAAATCTATACTATCGATTATCGAATTATAAAATCAATTTCTCTGTATGATACACATATGTATGACGTATGTGATATAAGTTGCTATCCTTTTAATTACGTGAGAAGACGTATGTAAATAAACAAAGTAAAATAATATATCAGGTATGGTAATAATTAAAAGTTTCTTCAAAGTTTTTGTCATTTAAATTATCACGAAACAACTTTGCAAATGCATTTAATAGAAATGACATTAATTATTATTAGATCTTGATGTCAAAAGGTTATGTCATATATTGAATTGTTTTTTTCTTTTGTATGCGTAGTAAGAACTAAGTGACATTTTTCTATTTATATTTATGTATGTATTATTGTGATCACTTATACAGATGAGAAAATAATTGTGAAGTGTAAAATGTTTCATATACGTCAATGTACTCTTCGGAGTTCTGTTAAATTTTATCAAAATTTATTACAAACTTGGATACACAATTCCAATGAACATCCATCAGCTGGCCTTATTAGTGAGTTTAATTAAAATGTATTATATAATTTTTTTTAAAAATATTAACATTTCAGTATTTCTAATTTTTAGTCATTGGAAATGAAATACTGAAAGCACGAGTAAAGGACACTAATTCTCATTATGCTTGTAGTTTATTATATAAATGTGGCGTTAAGGTAGAAAAAGTTAGTATATTTTAATATTATTCTATTATTACCGAGTAAATTTTGAAATAATTCTACAAAATTCTATATATGTTTATTAATGTCATATTTAATATTACATTTGTATGTTTGTTTTTTTTTTTAAAGATATCAGTTATAAGTGATGATGTAGAAGAAATAAAAGAAGAAATGAAGAAATTCTCAAGAAAATATAATCATGTTATTACATCAGGCGGTATTGGACCAACACATGACGATGTTACATATGAGGGTAAATGATAGAAGAAAGTATTACTTTGATAAGGAATAATAAATAATTAAAAAAAAAAAAAAAATAATCAATACAAAATTGGGATAATTGTATAGGACTTGCTAAAGCTTTTGATGACTCTTTACATTATCATCCGGAACTTGTTGAGATTATAAAAAATCAATTTGGAGTAATAAATCCAACATCACCTAATTACAAAATGGCTTATGTATGTATATTTTATTATATTATTATAATGAAATACTTTTGTTATATATATAATATTGTGTCTTAGATACCAACAAAAGCATCTTTAATATTTGGGAGAAGAAAAAGTGTGAGGTATCCATGCGTTACATTAGAAAATGTTTATATATTCCCTGGGTCACCGATATTCTTTGAAAAATCTTTTGGAATATTGCACAAGGTAATAATGTTCGTTTAAATTCTTCTTGATAAATATATATATATGTATATAAGTAGTATATTTATTATAAGTTTTTTACGGACACATTTCTTTAGGAATTATTTTCATCAAATAGGTACTTTGCTAAGGATGAGATATATTTGAATGCAAAGGAAGAATTATTTGCTAATGCTTTAACACTTGTTTCTAAAGAATTTCCAAATGTTTCATTTGGTTCTTATCCTGTAAGCAATAATAGGTAAAAAAAAAACGTTTCTTTTTAATATCATTTTTGTTATAACAAATAAATAGATATTATATATACAAATTATTCCTAGCTACTACAAAGCATTTATTACCATAGAAAGTACTAGCATTGAACAAACGAACAAAGCAAAACAACAACTTTGCAATCTTATTGGACCAGATCTTTTGGTGGATTACGATAATAATTCACATATTGATAGTCTTACAAAATTTCAAAACTTTCTTGAGAAATGTCAACGATCGTTTATTTATAAAGAGACTTTGGACAAATTAATGTAAAACATATTTATATTTATTTTTATAATGCTATTATATTGATTTTCTATGTACTATTTTATCATTTGATTTTTTTTTTTTTTTTCTAGAAAAACTTATCAACATCAATCTGAGAAAATAGCAATTTTTCTTAATAGTAGTATAGAATCACAGATAATCATACATTTTGTTCATTTGGCTCACACAGTGTTACACGTGCACGACAAATTACAAATAGTTTGTTTCAAATTGTCCGAAATTTCTAAAAACGATGAACAATTAATCGAAAATATTGTGAAAAGGTAAGAATTTAATTTTTTTTTTTTTTTTCAAATTACTTAATTATAAACAATTTATTTGATATTTGTATTGTTTCACAGATACAACGTAAATATTTGCATCTTAGAAAGTGATCTTTTGCATGCTATGAAGAAATTAAGGTCAGTAAAACCGCAATTAGAAATCTTATTAGTCGGAACGGAGGAAAAGAAATTCAGTGAAGCATTGGAATGTCAATCAAGAAATGAGAAGAAGAAGGAGGGGGAGGAGGAGGAGGAGGAGGAGAAGGCTATTAGGCAATTAGAAATAACAAATCCTTTACATAAATGGACGCAAGAAGATATACGAATATTTGCTAGATTTCTATCATTGCCCTTTAGATGATTTCATGAACTTTATCAAGATGAAAGAAGAAACGTGTTTTATTGAAAATCTCTATTAGAAATATTTTCTTCGCAGTCTTGTATATAAACTTGCAAAAGATGACAATATTTCGTTACAGTGAAAAGTAATACAGATAACAGAAAATACAAGTATGATATAATAAAGATTAATGATATCTTTTAACAATCTCGTAACATTTTTTGGTTTCTCAATATTCAATTGTTTTATTGAAAACAATTAATTACCTTGTTAGGGAAAAAACGAACGAGAGTTTACAACACTAAATAGATATTTTGATATGAATCTGTCTCATCTTTTCTGAGAGGAGAAGGAAAGAGGAGGAGGAGGAGGAGGAGGAGGAGGAGAGTAACAGTCATCTCATCGTTGCGAATCACGCGCGACCTCGATTTGAAAAATCCCAAAATGCTTCCGGCAGGTTGACGGAAGTCGTTTAATATTCGTAAGGGCATGCACAGCAAGAAACACAAAAGCTTCCTACCATTGTCTACGTGCGCTTTCAATATGTCTGCTCAGCCATCCGAGCAGCGGAACTCGAATGTACATTGAAGAGGTATGAGGTTCAGGGGGTGGGTATGGGTGCTGGTGGTGAGGGTAAGAGCGAGGGTGAGTTTGAGGGAGAGCAAGAGAAAGAGAAAGAGAAAGAGAAAGAGAAAGAGAAAGATGATGAGAATGAGGATGAGGAGGAGGGGTTGTGAGATTCCAGAAACTGAAGTTAGGAGAGAGAGAGAGAGAGAGAGAGAGAGAAGAAGAGGAAGGAGAAGTCTGAGTATAAGCTCGTATTACACATTTTTCAAGTGAGGGAAAAGGCTGCTTGGGGGGCAAGAGGGTGGTAAAAGAGGAGGAATCTCCCTCCGTTTCCACCTCCTTCCACCCTTTCGAAATTTCATTTCCAGTTAAAGTATTTCTAGCTTTTTTCCTTTGAAACTTTAAAATGAGACCGGGGGGGAGAGCCCCCTCTCTGTTCTCCCAACCAACCAACCAACCAACCACCCACCCACCCTTCTTTCCCTTTCCTTTTTTCTTCTACGTCTTCACCAAGTCGTTCTATTCCGCGATATTCCGCGGAAGAGAGTTACTATTTTTCATATCCTTATTCTTTCGTTTTTCTTACATTTTATATAGATTGTTCCTTGCGGGAAATCATTTTGAAACTTCAAACGTCTTCGTAGTCGCATTCTTCAGACAAACACCAGGAATATTTTTCGATTAACGTTACTACATTGATTTCAAGTCCCGTAAAATATAATGTAAAGATTTTTTAATTGTTTAATTTTCGAAACATAATAGAAAAAAGAACCTAATACGTTTATTAATGTTGTTTCTGCTTATCTTATCATTTCCATGATACACCTTTATTGAAATCAATCAAAGTATGTGTCTTAAACATTTTGAATGTTATTCATATCCATATTTGCATATCCATTATTATTATTGTAAATTTTGAATTTCAACCTATCTCACGTTTCATATCTTTGCCAATACATTCAAATTATTTTCATCTTTATTTATATACAAAATATGTAACATAATACATATATTTATTATTACGAGAAGGCGAATTAATAGTAGAAAATATTAATGGAATACAAAAGCGTGATTTAGTTAGGTTTTATAAAGCAAATCACATTTTAATATGTCCCTTGGTATCTCTTTATCACACAATATATTCCTATATTACAGGAGTCAACAGGAGAAAAAGGAAATATTTATCTCTTTTCCTCTTTCTCTCTCTCTCTCTCTTTCTCCTCTTCTTTCTCTCCTTCTCCTCTTTTCCGCTGGGGGGGGGGGAGTTTCAAGCAAAGGAACTTTATAAAAATACCGCGTTCATCGTCATTTCAATTTCGGTTAAAAATATTGAAGTACACCGGTGGTATTTTTCAAACAAACACGAACACGCACACGCACACGCACATGTACGGGTTTGTGTTGCTGGCACAGACTAAACCGAGGGAAAGTGTATATAATGCAAGCGCGGCGCAAAACGGAAATGGATAAAATACTATTTCAGCTTTTCTATAGCAATGCCAGTTTAATATCTGTAGAAATTGTATTGGTTCTTTTATATGGAGAGGAAGGAGTGGGACAGGGGGTGTGGGGGATGAAAAAAAAGAGAGAGAGAGAGAGAGAGAGAGAAAGAAAGGAAAAAAAAAGGAAAAATAGAAGTAAAAAGAATCAGTACGGAATTCAACGCGGAATAACGTAATACCAACGTTACTGTGTATAACATTTTATATATACATACATATATATTATATATAAAAGTACATGTATTCATACGTATATATACATACATGCATATTAAGATAGAGAAAGACTAAGTGAGAGAGAGAGAGAGAGAGAGAGAGAGAGAGAGAGAGAGAGAGAGAAAGATAGAGAGAAATACGAATCCTTTACGAGTTTGCCGAGGATGTTCTACGAAGTTTTCCAATTAATTAACGAGTTGGTAGTACTCCCTTGTTAATAGATAGGATC